GGCCCAGTCGTTGTAAGGGCGTGCGCAGAGCGTCTTTTCGTCTTCGTCTTCTGGCGATGGGAGTGATCGCGTTGCGGGTTTGCCGCTGAAGAGGTGGCCTGTTCCCATGAGGAGGAAAGAGAATTTGACTACGAGGTCTAGAGGGAGGGCGTTGACGTCGCCTAGAAGATGGAGAGGTGAGTAATGGTGTTGTTAATGTTTGGTTCTGGGAGATGATTGTGAGGACATTGTCACAATTCATCAGTAGCACCTACCGATCATGACGAGATGGGGATGTAAGTAATTAGGGTTGACGACGTCTATCCCCCTCGGGATGTTCATCGTTTCTGCGGAACGCCGAGACATGTTGACGACTTGTTTCAGTGGCGCTCAGTGAAATGAAGCAAAAGCGAATCGTAATTGAAAAGTAAGCGAAGAAAAGAGTGAAAATAGCGTCAAAGACACTCACTTTATAACCGTCAGCGACGTCCAACACGTCCAACACCAACACCAAATGTCGGACGTTGGAACGAGAATCCTACAAGCCCCACCATTTCTGCCTGCTGAAGCCCTGTCGCCCCCGCCGAATGAGCGAGGTCAATTGAGACAGGGGCAAGCCGGGGCGTCGGGAGTGAGAGGTATCTTAGTGGCCCCGGTAGCCTGGAATGTGTGCTTAAGCGGCCCTAAACGGGCATCGCTGCCTGGATGAGAGGCCGGGGCGAAGGATCTAGATTTCGGGGATAATCCGATGTTATTTGTGTGTGAGTGTGGTTGCGAGAGGCTAATGAGTGAGGCGAGAGATGTTTCTTATTGGACATAGACGTGAGTGTGTGAGCGTAGTTAAAGTAACGAATGGCATCGTCAGTCCACTACATTTGACCAGGAATTGTCCTATACGCTGAAGAAGTGCATCTCATTGTCCTGAGAAACCTGCACAATCACAGTCATCCAGTTCTGTTTTTTAGGACACCGCTGTTTGCTGTTGGCAAAGTTCAGCTCTTATAAAGCGGCGTTCGAAATCCGCCACAGCTCTGTTTCCCTAATCCTCAAAGCTGCTTTAACTTGGGGACTGTTAGAGCGACGGCAACCACCTCAAATTGGTGGCGGGGCCGTGAAGATTTCCAAAAAAATATATGAGACGAGGGAAAGTGTCTAAGTAAACGAAGTGAACTCAATTGAGGGTGTTGTCGGCCCGATGTTCCATACGGGTGTTGGGGGAGTCTTCGGTTTTGAATAAGCATGAAGGCAAATGAATCACATAGTCAGACTCGTATGTCTCCAAACAATGCGTAGGTGCTGATCTATCGTCCCGTCGCGGGAACAGCCGTAGCATACAAATGTCTATAAGTCATCATAAAACCCGGCCTAGTGTAGAATTGATTTCGATTATATTGATTTGCAGTAATTGCATAGTAACGCTCTCTAGAGTATTGTCTCTCGAAAGCTCTTCAAGGAACCGACTGAAGCGGGTCGAGAGCTTCCATAACCCATCCCTACATGAACTCCAGCGCTACAATAAACACAGCAAACCACAATAGGTATATCCTGACAGACAAGATGGTAACAGATACACATCGCTAATTGATGTCGCAAAAAGACGAGGTCAATAACACTCTTGAAACCCCCCTGGTCACCTGAGAGGCCACCCCTCTTTCTCCCGGTACAATGGCGGGCCCGGCATGTCGCCCTCCATCTCAAACACCTCGTTGGTATCGGGCAACTCCTGAGGCCTCTCCATCGTCTCCATCTCCATCACCGTCGTCGAGTCAAGCTGTGCCGTCGTCGTCGGTGACCGCGGCGAGTGCAGCGCCTCGTCACCCACGACAGTAGTGCCCGTTCCCGGCCTCGCGGTGCTGGGTGACATGATATCCAGAGACGACTTCCCCACCGGCGCTTTATGTGCCATCGTCGGCGCCACCGAGTCCGATTTCGAGTCGCTGTCTGCGCTACCGCCGTTCTCGCCCGCTGCTGCTATCTTTTGTGCGTGCCGTCTCTTGCGTCGTCGCCATAGGAGGATGAATGCCAGCAGCGCCAGCACGAGCGTCCCCGCCACCGACCCAACCGCGATCGCAATCGTCGTGCCAACTGAGATACCCCCTCCCCCTCCGTCCGATGACCCGGTGTCCGATCCGGCTGGTGTACTCGTCGCCGTCGCCGTCGCAATCGAATTACTCCCCGTCTGCGCCCCCGTCGTCGCAACCGTCTCCCCTCCGCTTCCCGTAGCCGTGGCCCCTGTATACGTCGCCCCCGGCACCGTCGGATCCGTCTCCAAAATACTCAAATCCGAACTCGCCCACCGCACCTGCACCGCATACACCAGCGCCAGCTGCGAGGTCGGCTGATTATCGCTGTTATAAAACGACGTCGTCGGGATCGTGGAAATGCACTTGCTGTACCCGTAGCTCTTGGTGTCGGTATAACAGACGTACCCCGTCGGGCAGCACAGCCGCGGGGTCTCGCCGACCGTGACGGGCCCGCCCATGCCGACGGCGCCGTCCTTTGAGGTTGCGAGCGAGGTCGGGAACGCGCAGCCTTCGGTATAGCCTGATGGGCAGATGCCGGGGGAGTAGTAGCCCCAGCTGTAGTCGTTGACCTGGTGCCATGATGTGGGCATGCATACTACGCTCGAGAGGGGCGGCGTGATTGTGTTTGTCCAGTAGAGGGAGTTGCAAAAGTCTGGCGTCGCGAAGACGGTCGTTAGAGGCGCCGCGCCTCGTTGGGTTGTCATTGGATTCGGATCGGACGTCGTCGTCATTTGGAATGCTGTGTTCTGTATATACTTTGGGTAGGGAAATATTGGCCTCTCCTCCACGCGCTGCTGGGAATGGCAGCGGACCGATTACTGCTGCTCTTCTTGCCACGACAAGAAGATGAAACTAAGAATCAATTCAAGTCAAGGGTGTCTCGAATGTGTGTTCTGGTTCTTTCGTATCCTTTTTCGAGTTCGACCCCCTTTACTCCATATTCTGCCTTACAGATCGCAAAACGATTCAGAACCGTGGTCTTGGCCTCGTGGGATGGTCCCGTAACTGTTCCCCCAAAATCCCCGATATCGAAGGGTCCGTTGGGGCAGCGTGAGCAACGTGTAGTGGGCCGCCCGGTGGGATATCAGCAGTCCAGTCTCGAAGAACGCGGGCGGGAGATCTTCCAAGACGCAATACACGTAAAATTTCGATCAACGTTGAAGAAGAGTCCAAGTTTGACCGAATAGGTAGGGCAGTAAAGTTAAGATGGTAAATTGGCAGGAAAACAGGAGCACAGATTTCCCAAAGAGTAAACAGCACTGGACACAACACTTCTTGAACAGACTTCCCAGCTATCCGATGGCCGGGGACACCAAGGGTTTCGGGACGGGGACCATCCCACCCCCTCCTTGCTAACAGGACTGCAGTCTACAATACTGTTAGTGGGCTAGTCCGCGGACAGCAGAGACGGTCTGAAGCAAGAAAGGAAAAAATGGTCCAATTCCATTTCTTGGTCTTTGGGAGGCCTTCCTCTCTGGGCGGGCGCGCGCTCCGAGCGCGAGTCATAATCGGGGGCGATCAGGGGACGGCTCCACCGCCGTCATAAGTGTCGTAATAATGTTCTGGATTCCCAGTCATCCCCAGTGTTGTGCACTCTTGCCCGTGTCAAACTGTCAGTGTCTTGTCCCTCTGGTGCTAGCCGAAATAAAGACTCGAGGTGCCGCTAACCGCTAGTTGCCCGCGCTTGTTGTGCGAGTTACTTAGTTGACTTGCTTGCAAATGGTTCAGATCTGCAAGAGAATGCGATGGATACGAGGTTTTCCGCGTCGTGGTCAGTGGTTTGATTTTCTGCCCTCTCTGGAGTCTCTGATGGTCAGTTCACCACCTACCTATCTCTGCCATTTACCCGAGACAGCGAAGAACGGCAGCATACTTGACGTCAGGTGGCGTATGAACCGCTGTCTAGTGTCTAGTGTATCAATTGGCACAAGAACGGTCCTTGACCGATAGCAACGTCGGCCACCGTGCCGAGAATCACTAATCCGCAGGCAGGTTCATCAACTTTACCAAGATTTAGCCAATTGGCCGACTACAGAAACTGGATCGTGGTCGTAGGCGTGGTAGGCACGTGAAATTCAATGTAACGTTAATAAAACGCTAACAGATGAAGACCACCCTTCATCCCAGCTGGTTTCTGGTTTCTCTGCTCAGGTTACCCCGTCGGCCTTTTGTGATTTTCCAACAATGCCGTTTTATTCCTTTCAGTGGAATAGTCGCCTATGAGTACTTGTGAAGGTGTCAACTGATGGCTGGGGAAATCCGGAAACATGGGAAAATCACAAACGTGGCTAAGCGGCCAAGCCAAAAAGCAACTGATATGATGCCATGCCCGGGCCCGTGAGCGGGCTCGAATTCCACGCCGGACCCGACTTGCGCTTCGCCAGCTCGCCTAAAGAATAATCCCACGACTCCGGAAGCGAGTAATTCATAATAACAGCCGCACTTATGACATCCATAGAGAGTGGGAATACCGCATGCACGGCACGCTCCTATATGAACCCGTGTGACCCTCTTCCCGTCGCAGAATCGCAGCCACGCCCAGGATATGCAAGGCACGCCAAACTTCAGAGGCTATTGAACTCTGTCCCCTTCTCCGTGGATCATCCAATCATTACTTTTGACACCCATCTGTCAACTCAATTGGGAAGAACAGAGTGGATGGCTTTCTCAGGAGGTGGGGGGGGCCAACCAGGCCAGGCCGAGCTCAGCTTGACTTTTCCTTTCTGTCTCAGTGTTTTTCTGCCCACTTTCTGGAGGGGCGCAGCAGGCAATCCCTGAGACTTTTTTCACAATGGAGTTTTGCGGATGGAGATTCTGGCATTCTGCACAGCCGCCATTGCGACTAGCTCGGCTTTTTCTCCCGCGGCTTTCTCAAATTCTGCTGCTCTTCTCCATCGGCATCCCTGGTGGCCTAGGCTGGCATAACTGGCTGGAGTCCTGCGGCTGTGGACAAGTTGGACATGGCAAACCTGCAAGGCTGGGCCAATTCCATTTTCGATGAAATGGATGATGGAGCAGAACAGAAGCTGTCCTTGTCTTGGCTTTCATGCGGCAGCGTGTAACAAGCGACCAGTGGGTGAGTGGGTGGGTGGGATGTGCACGCGAATGGGCAGCCCTACCAGGCGAAACCTACCGTCTCCAGACGAAATGGCAGAGAGAACTTTCAACAAAGTTACACCCGCCAGAACAGGGAAAGCAAGAAGGTAAAATGTTTAGAAAGATACGTTGTTGAATCGACAAAAACTGAATTTCCATCCATGGGGCCCCTCAGAAGCAAAAGCAATGCCTCGTGGCGGAATCGAACCGCCGATCTTCTCATGTCACTAGGTACTAGTGAGACGCTATACCACTTAGCCAACAAGGCGATGTCTGAACGGTCAAAATTGTGGTTTGTGTAGTGTCACGCCAGCTCGCGGACTCCGCTCGAGCTGTAGCGCATCGCGACCTCAACGACTAACCAAGAAGCAGGCGCAGCCGAGCGCGTTGCTCAAATGCCCTTCGTACTGAGAGCTATGTCCTATAGTATCAGCTTGTGTCGCCTATTTCCCGTCATCTTGGTTTCCTTCTCGTCGTTGGTCTTCGACTCGTCTCTGAGGCCCGCAAACTGCAGCCTCGATATTGACACGTCGAGAAGGAACATGGCGAATAAGATCCCATACCCAGTAGTAAGTGCTCGCGGCATAAATTTTCTCCTTTTCTATTATGTCTCATCATCGTAGGATGATAGCCCTTGCTTCATGTTCGTCGAGTCGAGACCGAGTCCTCTTCTTTCAGCGGGCTGAGGCGACTATCAAGCCTTATTAGCAAAGGTCCGGATACTCCTAAATCAGATATTGCTTTTTATCTGAGTCTCATCTTTTTTCAATTGCCTGATTTGGATGGCAATGAGACTGGCTCTTCTAGAATTTTCCGTGAGTGTTTTCTTGGGGTTTCTTTTCTTTTCAGGGGTAAGTCATCTCCCTCCTAGACGTTGGTCACAGTGGATTGGTATCTGAAGGCAGCATTCAGGATTACCAAATCCCTGGCGAATCTATGCAGATAAAACTTGGGAGGGAGTCCGTTTCATGAATCACTTGACGCGTAAGAAAGCGGTTGCGTCGGTGTTTACATGTCGGTTCGCGTACGTCACGTGGTGGCTACCCGTGGTGACGGTAGGAGAGAGGTATGGCAGGCGCGGCCGGGACGTTGATGAGAAACCGCAACGGTATACCTCTTCGGCTAACACCACTTGACAGAGGGATATAGGTCCCGTCGATTCTAATTCCGTCACCAACGGCAGCAGGCGCCTCACAGTCCTGTGAGGTCAGGTCAAACTGCCGTTTGGTGGGATGGTTACGGGCGAGCCTGATCGACTGGCTTAGCCTACGCTAGGTTCGAGGTTCGAGTCCCAGCATGAGCACCAGAGATGTAGCCCCCAGTTCAGCACCGGGGGGGGTGAACTCTTTTTGGTTCTTGTGAGTAATTGGGCCCAGACTTCGTAATTGCAAGCTCGATATCTTGACGTCTCGTCGGCTTGAGATGAGAGTCAAGGCAGTAATTCGTTTAAGTGCAAGAAGTCATCCATGATCTTTTAGTAAGATTGTTAGGTTTACTCACTAGAGGAGAAGATCCAAGTCGATATGGTGCGGCCAAAAAGCGCAACAATGAGGGCAGATTGGTGGCTGTCTCAGAAAGGCAGTTACCACCGCGAACGCGTTAATATACTAGTCTTCCCGAATTGAAACGGGGGCTTTTGAGGGACTACTAGATCAACCCTACATATAGGTAGAAACAGACACGTTTCTTTTGCTTTGAATTCCATCATTGCTGGTAATTTACCAAAATAGGGATCAGGATGGCCATGTCATGAGTGGATAGTTGATGGATTTGTGGATGAATAGGTCGTGGGCAAACGAAAACTCGAGTCTTTCCTACCCTAAGTAGATTTGCAGAAGTTTCATGAACGTGAGTAGCGTGTTCTGGAACATTCATACTGAAAAAGGCAGTGCAAGCGTCGCCATCCGGAGACATATTCCCAGCACCAACACGCACTTTCTTAGCCGTTGGTAGGTATCATTCGGTTGAAACAAATGTGTTGGCATTTATCACAAGGTAGATGGATGTGACCCTTGTGAGTCTTAAACCGGATCTTTGGTCTTAGCAGCGTTGATCTTGTGGACCTGTGTCATAGAAGGGACAAAAGCATGGAGCATTTCCTTTATCAATAGCGCTGCCTGATTAGGCCTTTGTTGAAAACGCGATGTTGTGAATTCTGTTGGTCTGTGAATATCCCAAGGCCTTCATGTAACCTTGCTATCTCCATGCATCCAAGCGCTGTTCAGATCTTAGAAAGGTTCAAGACAACAGATTGCACGGTGGCATGATGGCGGCCCATTCAAGGCTCCTCCGAACCTGCCCACAATTCAAGTGAAGTATGTGCAAATCCTGTCACCTCAGGATAGCTCCTTCCTTCAAATCTGGCCCTCGGCGATCTCAGCATTCTCAGCATTCTCGAGCTTCGGCTTGATTTCCTCGGCAGTGGTATCCTCCAGCTCCTCCTTGACCTTGGCAGTACGTGCCTTCTTCTTGGAAGGCGTGCCCTGCTTCTCAGCATTATCGCCATCCTCCTCCTCGGAAGGCGCCTTCTTCTTCGGGGTGCGCTTGGCACGAGCCTTTTTGACCGGAGTACCGTCCTCGTTGGTGGCAACAGCGCCGCCGCCAGTGAACCAAGTCGGGTGCTTGTTGACGGCCGCGGTGACGCGCATGCGGGCGGCATTGGTGCTGGCGGAGCCAAGCTTGGCGGCAAGAGCGTCTTAGTCAAGGGCAGGACGAGCCGTGAGCTCCATGATGGCGATCATGAGCTTGATCTCGGACTCAGTGCAGTCGAGGCCAGCGGCGGCAGCACCGGCGTCAGAGCTCTTCTTAGGAGGCATGGTTGTTTGTCTGAGGCTGATGTTAGCTAGGTAAAGTAAAGAGCATGTGAGCGGTAGGTTCAACAAAGAACGTACAGTGGTAGGAGATGTACGAGCTGTACTGATGAATAAGGTGGATAGAGTTGGCAAAGCAATTGTATGAAAGGCAAGGTGAGTGTGATGCGTCGAGTTGAAGAAAGTGGTAAGGCTGGGTGAGAAGTAGAAGCCTTTTTGTAGGTGAGAGAAGAGAAGCAAGATGGAAGAAGCAAGAAGGGAAGGGGTACTGACCCTGGGAAGAGCAACAGATGGAAGGAACAGCTTCTGCCTCTCAAGGCAGGTACATCTCCAACTTTAGTACAAATGGAAGGAACTTCCCAAATGGGCTTTATCTTGAGATCGAGGAGGCAGGCGCACCCTCGGCGGCATTTCCTCGAACTACTTCAATACAAGCTTGCTTACTGGTTTCCTGCATAATGGCTTGCGCTCCGCGAGTTTCTTCGCACTTAATTTGGGTAGGTTCACCTGGCTTCTTCTGCCTTCTCGTGGCCCTGGCTTATCCTGCAGGAGCCACCAGCTCGAACACGGAGCTACCCTCGTCGACTCCCGACCATCCAGCAATCTCATCCCTCCACATCCTGCCAGTAGTATAGTCTCGGCAGTATCATCACTCGCCCCTCCTCCTCTGACAACTCTATTGCCAAACGTGATGGGAACGCTTGTGAGGCCGACAGGTATCTTACTTTGATCGTTGACTGGAAAGTCGCTACCCCAGATATCTCCAGCCTCTCCCATTTCTCATCACACCATCGGTATTCGAGCAGCTTCTCTGTCAATGCTGGCACGTCAATGTTCTCAGCGGTGACTCCGCCATCGACAAAGACGACGAGGTCCTATTTGCCCTCATGGACGACGAAACGATCGCGCAGCGCTTCGGCACGACCAGGCCCGTTGACGAAAAAGCTGAACTTAACAAGGATGGCTAGCCAAACGTCATCAGGTCGTAGCTGGAGGTGTAGGTGTTGCTCCCAGGCTAGGACAGTGCTGATGAAGCCGTTTCTAGAGGCTACGATGGTGTCTTTTTCTGCGTCGGAGACGGATGTTTGAACCGAATCCCGCCCATTCACATCGTTCTGGAAAGAGAAATGTTGGTAAAAGTCTCGACATGGCGATGGTTTTTTGGTGCGATTGCATACGACTACATCGTGGGGTCTGATAATGGTTGGCACCGGGAACGGGAAATATTTCTTCTGAGCGTTGAATCAGAAGTAAGCGGACACACCCGTGGGACTTGGAGTTTGTGGGATTTTCAACGACCTCGTACTGTATTCATATTTGCGTCAGGTACCTAACAATACTCCGCTGTTGGTTCGTCGATGCCAAGAGACTGTTGGCGGAGCTTATTTGCCAGAGACTCCCCACTGCTTTCCTGGCCTGGCTGAACAACATGAGCTATGCAGCATAAGGCCGTAATTTTCCATCTGGTGTAGATGCTTTGTGTACCGCCTTATGTATCACGGTGTTTCAAATTATCGAATATAAAGACAGCATAGGATTTGAGTTTCGGGTATTATGTGTCCTAAATCGCCCGCAATTGAAATTTGCATTGAGAGCCTATTTGGCCTCACATTGATCGTCTGCTTCATACTCAGAATAAACGCTAGTAAGTCAAGTCAGGTATATGCTTCACGGCTTAAAACTTTTTGCGATAAACAGCAAGTGCCGTGGGCAGACAAAATGCTGTTGTCCAAGAAATGCAAGATTAGGTTTCAAGCACTAGATGTGATATATGACTGTCAAACGGTGTGGAGTGGCAATCGGGTTCCGTTCCACTTTCAGGGCAGGTTTCGTGAGACTTGGCCCCGGAACAGCTAGCCTTAAAACGAGCATGGAGAATTTCTCAAAGTATGGGGAGAAGCGACAGCGAACTCAGAGTTTGTAGCTTACCATGTGGTTGAGATCACTTTGTTTTAGCGTTGGTGAAGCCGGGTCCTCAGAGTTTGGCACGGCCATGGAAACCGTGGGAGCCGTGAGAATTTAGGCTAGAGGCCAAAGCACCATCGTCACCCCTGAACAGGAGGGCCTCTTGATTAAACCTAGAATCAACGTCACAGCATCGAAAAGTTATACATCTCTATCTCTCAGCGAGTTGACTGGCCGTGAGAAGTTCAGGGGTTACATGGGGGCCTTTTTTCGTTGTGATGTGTAGGGAATGTCAGCTTGTGGTAAGCTCATGAGCGAGTGCTTTCCTTACTCCAGTCAAAGCCCAATAGTTGCCCCACACTGGCATAATCATTATACAAAGAATACCTCAGGCACATTCAACAACGTTGAAGAGTGGATGACATGTGGCGGTGTTCCTTGGAAGCAAACGACTGGAACGTCATATCATAGTTGACGAATCAGTATCAGAACAATCTACATTCATCAATAAGACAGGGACACTGTGGACAACTTGGGTGCTTGAAGAATTTTACTTCATTCCATCGAAAATTCGAGTTGAATTCTAGTGAATATGTGAGCTAACTGACAAGAACTCTAAGTTGCTTCAGGTAGATGTCACAACACCCGTCGCGTATGATATCCCAAATGCAAGGCCCAACAGCCTCAAAAACTATGTGACACACCTCCGCAATCCCACCTTACGCCATCATCCTTTGCCCTCTCGATAGATCAGAAGTTGCAGGTGGATGTGCTCTGCTGGCGACAGCATTGGCTGAAGCCGAAAAGTCCTACTTCAAGAGCGCACTCGTGTTGCTAGTCCCATAGGGTTAGCCCCAGTCTTGACTGCAAAAAGCATACGATCCGCTACTTACACCCTGCATGTTACCCTCAGAAGCCTGGCAACATCTCTCAGTCTGGTCATCCATGGGAACAACCTGGTCCTGATCGTTGCTGACGCAGCAGTAGATCGTCTGGGCTGCGGCGCTGTGAATAGGTGTTTGTGGTTAGTCATATTGAAGCCAAATGAAATGAGGTGAAGCATAGACGAACCTGGCAGCGAAACAAGCGGCGATGAGAGTGACGACACGCATTTTGATGGTGTATGATTGAAAAGAGGTTTAAGTGAGTGTGAGTCTAGTGAATGTGGTGACGAAGAGAGAGTGCTGGTGGATCGGTAATGACTATTCTTGAGTGACAGCAATGGGCGAAGTTGAGAGCATATTAATATCTGAGAAGATACACATGTATGTCTGTTCATGCTGTAGGAAGCTCTTCTTACGGCTCTCTGCTTACACGCAGCTTTGCTCAGCCATGTAAACGAGTGTTACGAGCTTGGCAGATTCAAGTCGGAAAGACCGGGCTAAACACATCGTACCACAACGACCGACTCGTAACCTATAGTCTAGTACACATACGGCAGGACTTAATTAAACATTCAATACAGTGTTGGGGTAGACCAAGTGATCTACACTATACAATTACACAGATCATAAATAGTATCAACCGAAAGCGAAACCCAGCCTGCCAATGACGACGTGTGTGGGGCGTAGGGACTTTTAGGGTTCCAACTCTTCGGGGTATTAAGATGAACCACCATATAGGCTCTTGAAACCCGGTCCCTGGCAATTAATTGTGGAACTCGCCTTGTTGCTTCAGAATTAAGGTTGGCCGAGAGTCCGACATCGTTACCGACAAGAAATCTGACACATGAGCCAGGAATAGACTTTGGGCAAATGCTAGCACGTGGACGAGTTTTACGCGCTTTCAGGAGTTTGCGCTTGTTTACAGTATATGAGAATCGCCGACCAAGAACTGCAGGAGTTGCCCGGGCGAAAAGCTTGCGGACTTGCGGATGAGGAGTTGACCCGACTGCCAACTAAACATCTGATCGACAACCCAGAAGCCGCGGTCTTACCACGGCCCTGCCGTTGCTCTATTAAATGAAGTAGATGCGCAATGCCTCGAGCTAGACCTTTTTCATGGAAGGTGTATCGACATCATACGAGACAAACCTAGCTGCAGTGATGCGCAAAGATCGACTGACGTGCATCGCTTTGTAAGGCTGAACTCGCGCGGGTTACACCGTCAGCGCCTCAAGTGTTCTAGAAGACATATGCATGACACCACTAAGGCACTTCTCTGGCCTAACAAAAAATTTGACGACTTCGCTCTCGGTCTATTTCCGTACCTTTCTTCTACAACAGGAAACTACCGACTGAGCAACATTTCAACTTTCCCGATTCGCACAGCTCACAAGTCACAACCAAGCACGCCCCGGCAGAGTTTAGTTGCTAGTTCCTTGGCCTCTTCCTCGGTAGCGAGGAACTGACCCTCTCCCTTATCCCAAGTGAGTTCGGTTATCGTGGCATGGCGTTCACCGGTAGGTTCCGTTGTGTCGCCCGCACCCGTCGCCGCCAAGACGACATTCATGCGAAACTGTTCGTCCCCGGTCCAGCTCCTGTGCAAATGCACCACGAAGTCGCCGCGGGCGTCCGGCTCATCTGCGCGGCACATCCAGCGATCTTCCATTTGCGATGGCTTGAAGCCTTTGAGGAGCTTCTCGGCGTCGTTGCGAGAGACGCTGAGGTTCCAGGTGGTGGTGGCGGGGTTCCTCATGGTTGGTGATGTTCTGATGGATGATCGGGAGAGTCTGACCCTTGTGGTTGATAGCGGGCCTCGTGGCAAGTCTGAATAAGGGAGAACGTGGGGCGTAAGGTGACGGCTAGAAAGTGGGATGTGGGAGATTTGAGATGATGACAAGAATAAGGGTATTGCTCGATTTTGACTACTTGGGACGATGGAAGAGAGTTGATGTGGGTTTTGGGAATCTCGGATTAGACCCATCTACGTACGAGTCTTCATATACTTTTCGCCTACGCTAAAGCAGTCAGTCCTGGGTGTTGGGAACTCTGGCGGCATCATCTTCCTATTGTGGACTACAAGGCAGTCGGAAGATTTGCGGTAGGCCAGGATACGTGTGCGGCCTCTGCGGGATTGGAATCGGGGGCTGAAATATGGAAACCCGCTAGGGCCATCATATCAGGGGTGGTCTGGAGTATATTATATGGCACACATGATCTTGTCCAGGACTAGGCTTATCAGCTCAGACCACAATCTAATCCACGCAGTATTGGACATTGTGCTGAGAGATATTTGTTTCGTCATCCATGCCGTAAGGCTTTCCTATCAGCTGTGACTGACATGTATCGTCCAATAGCCGTCGACCCCATCCTGGTCATGCTTGAAATCGTCTGATGTGAGAGAATGGGATAGCCATTTTTGTTCAGCCATTCGAGCCTGTCTATCGGTGCCAAGAAACACTGCGACCGCCAAGGGCTGTCCGTATAGCTAAATACGAGACATGTCTCCGCATAGCTATGATAAAGTTTTGGGGGGTAAGGGAGGATGCTAACGGTGTTGAAGCCCTGTCAATATTGAAAGAAACGATTCATAGCTGAGTCGAGGTGTAATAAATTGTGTATGTTTAATTTACTTTCATAGAACTTTCCAACATTGGTCTAGTTGGCAACCTTTTGCGGCTTTGGCTATAGTTTGTGTCTGGTGACAACTCGTCTCGTCTTGACAGAGCCAAGCTGGAGTGCTCCGTAGAGGCTTAGACAGGAAAACTTGTACGGATTTCTGGTGCCGGCAGTTAGTTTCGGTCTCGGGATGCCCGTCATGCCCTTTCTCGACTTGATGGTGCTCGGTGACTAGAAGCCCCAACCGAGATCTCAGGCACGATGCTATCTTAAGACAGAAACCCTGGGAATCATATGCAACATGGTAAGTATAAAGAAAGGATGACTTCTCACCAACTTACGTACACTTTGTATCACCATAATCATCACTCTCTTTATCAGCCCAACTACCGACCTCATCTCAATCTCTCATTGACTCTGGCTGCTTTTCAAGCCTTGTCTTACACTCTTTTCTCCTTCATCAACAATTTGTCTTGCCGTTTACACGGTTTGTCGTCAACATGATATCCCTAAACAACTTTTTCGTTGTGCTTGTGCTCCAACTATGGACTGCAGTCTGCAATGCCCAGTTCAGCGTTTGGCGCGCCGATACCAGAACCCCTACCGAGATGCGCGCCGCCGGTCTCTTCGCCCCTAGAGGAGCCAGCCAGATCCTCCAAATCGTCCCCAACGTCAGTATGTACAACCACGCAGTCGGCGCCGACAACGGCGCCAGCCGCGATAATGACGGCTACGTCTCCACCACCGCCAGCGAGGACACTGCCGTCGGCTTCCTCACCAACATGTTCAACGGCAACGGCTACGTCTACGAGATCGCGGCCGCGGCCAACTTCATCCAGGTCTCTGGCACTCTGGGCGAGTTCAGCCCGTACCCCAACGAGCAGGAGTACGCGGCGCTCGGAGGCTTCAGCTGGGACCAGGTCATCCGCTGGAGACACTACACCAACGGCGTTGCGGACGGCGGACTACAGGATAACAACGAGTATGAGGGCCGCATCTACAACGGCCTGAGACCCACCAACTCCATGCCCAGCCTTGCTGGCTTCCCTGCCGGTCACCGTGCCTGGACATTGTCCCCTTGGAACGCGTTTGCTCAGGGTGGTGCAGGCTGCGGTGGTGGAAATGCTGCCCGCACTCTTTTCATTCGCCAGGGCACTTGCAACCCTAAGGAGGATGCCGAGACTGTTGCCAAGAGATTCATTGATGAGAACTGCTGGGCCAAGGACCTTTGCGGTTAAATTCCGATGATCGAGTATCCTGTGAGCTGCAGATTTTGGAAGGGCACTCTTATTTCTGCAATGGCCATGCTTGACGAGGCAGAAGGGGCTTATTCAGAACGTGACTTACGCGATCTTAGTCGAGGTTATTGATGGTCTGATTGACTTAGGACTCAGGAGACAAAAATGAAAGGGATAGGGGTGGCTTGAGAAGGGCCAGAAAGTCTTCACCATTGCTGATATCTTGAGAGTGTTATTTGTCTTTATGTGTCTCTTAGGATTTTACAACGTAGCTCGGACAACAAAGGACATATATCCTCAAGAAACGCCGTTTTGCCCCTTTGAGTAATATGTGATTATGCTCATAATCGCTACCTCTTTCAAGTCTACGGGAATTATGATTTGCTCCTCAATTACGGAATTCCGAATTCTACATAGGATCTTACCACGGGTAAGCCATTCGTGTTAGAATAGGTCGCACTGGCGCATTGGCGCATACGAATGGGCGGGTCGCGAGCTGTCTGGCGCCTGTACGTATAACTTAAATGGGAATGATCAAAGGCAAACTCCTGTCAGAATCTACTGTCTCTCTCCTACTTCCTACTTGATTATGCAATGGTATTATATTTTAGTGTGAAGGGCATGCGTGGATTATTATTTGAAGAGCATATCATGCACCACCTTCTCAAGCGTATCCAAAGTTTCATCATCACAACCCATAGATCGGAGCTCTTTTCGTATGGTGACGGAGTTCTGAGGAGGACTCGGACCGCTCAAATCCCAAGAGTCAGTCAAATAAGTGACATCGAGGCTAGAAGCAAAATATACCAAGGTTTTTGGCGGGAACTTGGCCCCAAGGATAAGAGAGCATTGCAGGAAAAACGGTAGGTCCATCTCGTAGAAAGCCTCTTCCAAGACGTTTTGAAAATGTTCAAATTGTTGCGCAAATATCGATCCCGTAAGGCTTTTGTCTTGGGGCAAGGCAGTTGGCTTACCGGCTATTGATGTGTGCAAGAGGTCGTTACACAGAATGTTGATGCCGGGCATTATACTGGTTTCCCTCGATCTGTGTTTAGAAGGCATCGCGATGATGCTTCTCAGCAATAAATTCACGATTTGTAAGACTCTCATCTGTACCTTCCATACAGGAAGGAGCAAGTCGATTTGTCTTTGAAGGTCAGGGGACTCTTGCAAGTCATCGAAGTCGGCTGTTTTGAGACGCGACAGAGCCCCCATCATCTCCCGCAGAGCCAAGACCAGATCTGTCACCTGGAATTCAGGGGCTAGGGGCTGTTTAAAGAAGCGGTCCACTAGCAACAAAGAATTGTCCATGTATCCTAAAACAGGGTCCATGTCACTATGAAACTGCTCCAGAGCGAATGGCCAAATGCTGAAATGTTTGGGCAGGTCGAAAAGGTATGATAAGACAAACTTTCGAGTAGTTATTGCCACGAGGCATATGATTTTGCTGCTGACCTTGAATGATGAGGAGGCAGCGTCAAGTTCTCCTTCCAGAGTCTGCATGCATTCCGCAACGTACGGCCCGGTTTCTCGTCCGCGATTGAGGATAAGCATTTCCAGTCTTTCTTCAATCCGACGTAACGGACCGCTGGCGGCCACAAATTCAAATCGAGCACCTTCGATGATCAAGTCCCCGATGGAATAATTACGACACCAGTCAGATTTCTCGAAAATTGCAACTTCCATCGGGGTGAACTGGGCGAATTCGGGCCCTGTGGAGAGCGCATTCAAGGTTGTAAGACAGCCCGATCGAGCCAAGAACTTGACGCCGTCTAGATCAGAATGCATGATGCAGAAGTGGAATAACTCTTTCCGAAAGCAAAACCTATCCAGCTCCTGTGTCGAAGCCCCATGATTGACCAGTGATGTCGCGAGTGGCCAATTTCTCAAGAGCACTGCCCGGTGAAGCACTGGGCATCCAGAGGCGTCACAGCCGTTTGGCGATGCGCCCATAGCTAGAAGCCGAGAAGCTAGCTCAAATCTTTGACTGGATATGGTTTGCAACGCCATGCTTATCTCGTCGGCTCTGGGTGCTGCTTTGCTGGGATTGGGCGCCAACGTGGCCGTTTTGTGTTGGTCACTATTGATGTTGAGAATTGGCGGCCAAGTAGCTAAGCTGAGGTTTCCCATTAGGCAGGCACGACGAAATACCTCGATGCGAACTCCGAAGCCAAGTGATGGCGTATGAATCATTTCCATCATGGTTTGGTCTGCAAGTGTTCGATTGAGTTCCTGCGACTCCGCAAGCATCTTGAGAACGGAGTATGCCGGTAAAATACCGAGACCCTTCATGCTGTGGCCCTTCTGGATGAAGGAATAAATGTTCCTCAGCAGCATTTCTTGTGTTTGGTTGCTTTGGAGCATAGATAGTAGAGTGTGGCCATCTCGTACTATTGGAGACCGGCAAGGCTGGCTTTCGAGTTGTTGTGGTAGGAGCTTGTATGTTCGAGGTGTATCGGCGTGTAGCCCGAAGGTGAAGCCTTTCACAACAGCTACCTGTGTATCTACCGCGTCCAATTCAGCTACCCGCGGTTGTTTGTTGACTTGGGAAAAGAGGTCGAGTTTAGTGATGTGGTTTGCGTTTAGAGTCCCGCTGCCTGCTGGATTATCGTAGTCGCAAGCAGACATTTCGATCTGAGATGCTAACCATTCAGAAACCTTGTGAGTCTTGAAGCACTCTGACATAGACAGCAGACGCGTGGCCATGTGCGATTCGATCCCAAGACTGACAGACGTAGCATGGAACCTCTCGATTATGGGAATTGTCGAAAGTGCTCTGAAAACCTTAAGGAATGAGATAAGGCGAAGCGACTGGAACCGAAGAGAGCGGTTATCGTGACAGATTTTCATCACATGGTTGAACATCGGAACGTGAGAGTTTTGAACAGACCAAAATAACCCAGGATAATTTTTCAGCTCTGGAGGCACAATTATATGAGCCCAGGCTGTTGCCACGAAGGGTAAAGTCGGAAGACTCGGTAGATCAAATTTGTTGACCAAAACATCCCACAAATGTCGAGTGGATGGTATCACCGTAAATCGTGTATGCAGCAACCAAAATTCCTCTGCATACGGGAGAAAAGGGTGATCACTCGCTATTGTATTGAGTTGCCTGATATTTTGTGCAATAACATGACCAATCTGGCGGCTTGGAGCTGTCTTCGCCCTAACGAAGTTCTCTGCTAGGCGTATCGGACTCCATGAATTGTGAAATGTCTGACGAAGAATACCAGTTGAGATCTTTCCGGCATCAAAGATCGGAACAACGTTTGTGGAAAGTTGCGTTTCGAAGATGGCGTAGTTCAAATACGTCAAAATTGTCCCACCAAGCTCGTTGTGGGCTTCCTCATTCGTGAATTGCCACAATGATGTTCTGTCGACAGAAATTTGACAGAAGCTTTTGGCACTGTGGTGTACGAACCGTACGGTCTTCTCCTCTTCATCCACCATGATCAGGCTACCGCAGAATCCAAGAACTTTGTCGATATTGTTGATCCTCCTGGAGGGATCATATGTCTCGTCTCCTAAGGTTACGCTTGCCATCTCGCCTATCTGAGCTGATGTCAACGGCTTATACGCCGCGGCGAGAAATTTAAAGATGCGCTTATGGTATCTTTCATGGTCTCGAGCTGTCGACTTTTCCAGAATCCGTGTGTAAGTTGCTGTGAGATCGCGGGGGAGTGATTTGATTGCTTCCTTAATGTCGTAGTCAGAGGCCTCTGAGCAGATGGCATCGAGTTGAAGAGCAACCCAAAGAAACCTATCATTGTTCTCAGTAAACGGTCCAAGTTCAAGCTTTTCTTGGAAAAATCATGCTTACATTCCATTTGCTCCTTTCAGTAGAGCTTTCTTGATGTCCGCGATCAAAGCAGGATCTCCAACAGCCAAGTCCCCGTTGTCAAGGCGCGCTTCCATCTCCACATCGATGAAAAACTCAATGTCTGGATTTTCGGCCGGGAGCGAGACGTTCCAGTTCGGTTTCAAATGGATCTTGACAAAGTCGTCAGCTGTCGGCTGAGCTGAGATGCCCAAGTGCCATCTCGATGATGGCTGTTGGGTGTTCGTGAGCTGTTGCAGAACGATTCGACGTTCCTCGGCTCCACAATCATCTAAACCATCCACGATAATGTACTTCTGAGCACTTCCTATCAAACCGAGTCCTAGAAACCCAATAAACTCTTCGACACCTAACTTCGATGTATGTATATCGTCTGCGAAGACTTCGCTGCGGATGGGGAAGTAGTTGAGGTATTGCCTAGCCAAACTCCCGAGAATAGTCTGATGTTTCAAGCTTTCTGGAATATCGTATCGGCAAAAGAAGTAGAGGACAACGGCTTCTTTGTCACGGTTCAAGTCACTCACAACGTTAGCCATTGTGACTGACTTTCCAGCGCCAATTTTACCACTGAAGAGTATTGATGATGAAGTGGTATGCTTTTTCCATTCTTGATAGTCGTTCGAGCTGGAAAGTAACGAAGTCAATCCCAACTTTTGCGTTTGCTTCCAGGTTGTCTCGAAGTCGTAAGTAGAGCAAGAGTCTAGCCATTTCAGCTTCTTTGCGACATCAAATCGCCGTGTCGTAGACTTGGTCCATAGAGCTGTCATCCCTCGTGTTTCCGCACTCAAATGAGCTTCAGTCTTGAAATGTTCATTCAGCTGCAGGTTCGCCTCTTGTTTTATCGAATTTGACCATAGTTCAAGGTCTGACTGAAACCCCTTTAGGTCTGAATCGTTCAGGGACGCGGCTAGTTGACCCATCATCGATTTTTGCGTAAAGGACTGCACCCGTTGGCAGATGTGAGTCACAACGATGAAGTACTCGCAGAGGTAAGTTTGTAAGGCTTTGGACATCGGGTAAATTAAAGCCATTGCCTGGTGCCGAGGGGCCTCGCGACCAGCCGCCATGAAAAGCAGGGAAAGTTTTTCAAGGTATGTTGAAAAACCAATACAAATCTTGAACAATTTGTGAGCATCAATTGCAAGGTCTTGTTCTGAAGCTACTTGCATGTAGTGTCATCCTGACTGCTGCCCAGACCCCGCACGCCACGAGATTCTGAGATCCGCCTACCACAACATCGCCCAAGGCAGCAAATTGTTGAACTGCCTGAAGCAAGTTGGTCAGGCGAGGTCCAAAGCACCGGGATGAAAGCCGCTTCTGACGAGCCTCATGGTCAATTTTGGCCGTGAGTTGCATCACGTCAGCCGCGCTTGGAGGGTTCTTGCATGCCGTAGAACGCTCATTTCGGAAAGATGCCTTCTGTGTAGAGTTGAGGGAAGCTTCAAACTCCGAGACTGCTTGCGCCAGTCGTATATCCGGCTTCAATCGCGAAGCCTTGCGTAGCGCAGTCGCCATGATCACAGGCCAAGCGCTCGAGGCTGTCCTAAGGCTCAAGAGCGCGTAATGTTTTGTATCGGGAAATGATGAGTACATACATCCCTTGCGACGCAGCCTGATTCTCTTTCACCCCTGTGACCGGGCAAGGTCATGTGATAAGTACAATCATTGAGGCCTGTCATTGGATGCAATCCGCGCGTGTATAAGGCGTCTCCCAGCCACTCAGCTTAACCCTACTAAAACCCGATTACTTAGAGATGACTCTCGTATTTGCTACAGAGCATTGAGGATAAGGTAGTTTTGGGGCGCGTTTTGAATCTTTGTCAGGAGCAAGATCAACGCAAAGGTATGATGTCCATGGGGTGTAAGATGGTACTTCTAGGATTTGAGAATTGCGTTGCAGGAGAACTTGAGAGGACGACGATCATCTCGTAAACGCGCAACTTTTCCGCTATTGTGAGCACCAGAGGCTTGCCGCTAGTCTTAGACAGTGCGTAGGCTCGCGTAGGCTTCCACCATCCGGTCCTGCGATACAACGGCAAATTGGTGGCGCTTTAGCCTTTTGATACAGCTGCCAAATCAAAAGCTTCAAGCTTGCCGCCGCAGCGCCACAGGGCTTTCGAACCTCATTTGAAAACGGCAATCCGGTCCCTGATTCTGTGCTTATCAGGAGTTCCATCACATCCCCTTGATGACGCTAAAATCAGGGATGTCAGGTCCCTTTTGGTTTGTCTCAAATGGCGATCAGCCGTTGAACCACCAGCACGGCACTTTGACATTATAAGAGCAAGACAATTCCAGAATGACTTGTCTATTTTGTCTTGGCAACTTACACTCCTTCCCACTGTTTTCAATTCCCCACCTCATAACCTTTGTCTCTACACTCCTTCACGTTGAATCTCTTATCACATAACTCCGCAATGGCCACCCCAGCTCAAGCTAACACCCACAACAACGGTCCCATCGACCACAACGACCTCAACGAATGGAAGGATCGTTTCAATGACGTTCTCGCTCGCCCTAGCGAGCACGTCAACTCGAAGTCTCCCGAGACTTCTCGACCTTGGCAGAACGGCTTTTTCGGCTGCTTCAACCCCATCGACCTTTGCGCCATCACTTGCTGTGTTCCTTGCGTGACCTTTGGTAAAACCCACCACCGTCTTCGCAAGAACGGCAGCCTCACGGGCTATGAGCCTATCAATACTTCTGTACGACAATGCAGCGATGCACTTCTACATTTGTACTAAGCTGACTTGCTTCATAGTGTCTCATGTTCTGGGGTTCCACTTGCTTTGGCCTCCACTGGATCCCTCTCGCTCTTCAGCGCGCCAACCTTCGTGAGAAGTACAATCTCCAGGGCAGCTGTCTCGTCGATCTTGCTACTGCTTGTTGCTGTGGGTGCTGCGATCTGATTCAACAAGAAAAGGAGGCAGAGTTTCGCGAGGCTCAGACTGCTATCGCAAGCAAGGGCTACGAGGCCACAGCCGGAATGAGCATCCCCCAACCTGAGCAGAAAGTCTAAGAAACATTTCGTGTATTGATTACTAGATGTTTTAAGTCCGTTACGGGTTGATTGTGTACATGTCCTATTATCACTTGGACCCTAGGGTGATTGACTGAGAGAGTGGTGATGTTCCATTTGCATGAGATAACCACATTAATGTATTCTTCCCAGTGGGCTGGTGCATGTTTTATCTTTTCCCGCCTTTGCGCAGTCTTATTGGCGCTCTGTGAATCTAGTCAGAAGTGGTACGTAGAGCAAAAGTACTTTCTGCAGTTACTTCATCAATTATCCCTAGCCTAAGTTGTTCTTAATCTCACGTCAGCAATGCCAGTTTTGGCACACTACTCATCCCCTTCAAAGAAAACATAGCACGTGACGTCAGCAATGAGATTTCCTCAAAAGTATCACGGTGCTATTCTTAATATTCACTTTACGCACCTTATCAGAGTAATTTACGATTTAAATCCGAGTGAAAAATGGAAGTGCTTGCTCTCGGTCTTTCTTGGGCTTTGAACCAAACGAATTTATCGCAAAGCATCCTTGGGCGTTTGGGCTTGACATCTTTGGTGACCCAGGACACCAACTCGTGGACGCAATTATCTACACAATTGTCGCCAAATGCCTCGATTGTTTTTCCGAATGAACCCCTTTTCAACAACTATATAAGTAGGTGGCGAGACTGGCACGCACCGGACGTTGGAGTTGTTGTCAATGTCTACACAGAGAACGACATTCAAGTGACAGTATGTTTTGCGAAAGGCAGCCTTTTGCACCCCTAATTGTTCTCTCTACAGATTCGTCATGCAAATGAGCAGGGCACTCCTTTCCTTGCCAGATCGGGTGGTCATGGTGCAACAGAGTCGCTGAGTCTAGCTAAGAATGCTGTGTCCATCGACCTTCGCAGCATGGACCAAGTTGTCATCTCTGAGGATGGCGAGACTGCTACGATTGGAGGCGGAGCTAGTGTGAAGGAGGTTGTCAGTACTCTGTGGGCAGCAGGCAAGCAAACAGGTATGCCATCGCAGGAGTCCTTTCGAAACTCCAGGTTTTACTGACAACGAAAAGTGACAGGAATCTGCGAGTGCGTTGGCATTTCTGCCCCAGTTCTGGGAGGCGGTCACGGGTGGCTTCAGGGCCAGTATGGCCTGGCTTCGGACCAAGTCATCTCGGCCAAAGTTGTTCTTCCCGATGGAAAGCTCGTCAGCACGTCCAATGATGAGAATCCCGATCTCTTTTGGGCTTTGAGGGGAGCCGGCCACAACTTTGGCATCGTCACTGAATGGCAGTACCGAGTCCACGATATCAAGAACATCAAGTGGTCTTATCAGATATTTATCTATCTCGGGGACAAACTTGAGGAGATTCTCGATCTGACCAACGTTATGATGAAGACTCAGCCACCAGAAGTTACGCATTGGATGTATTTTGTAAACATCCCTGCCATCGACCCCAATCGAGTAAGTGTAAACTCCCGTAAGATGCTCATTCCCGAACAGGATTGCGACCGCTAAATAAGACAGCCCATAATCTGGTACGCCATCATATCGGACGACACCTTCGAAAAGTCTACAGAGTATGCGAAGCCTCTCTATGACATTGATCATATAAATGTCGAAGCTGGTGTGGCACCTATGCCAGACTTGGCTGGCTTGACCTTCATGAGCAGTGATAGTGTCGGATGCGCCAAAGGCTACACGGGTCTGCGATACCCTATCGGTCTGAAGACCTATGATTTACCTGCCGTCCGGAAAGTATTTGATGACATCGCCGACATGTCGAACCGCAACCCGGAATTTGCGGGGTCCTTCTTCCTCCTTGAAGGATATTCGACTCACGGCGTGAAAGCCGTCGATGAGAAGAGCACAGCCTTCCCGCATCGAGATGACGATATTCTGATTACGTCGTACATCATGTACAAGCCGAACGCGTCTCTTGATGCACTTGCTCAAGAATATGGAGAGAAGCTACGAGGGCATCTATTAGCGGCAAGTCATGAGCCTGAACGCTTGACAGCATACGTGAATTATGCTCATGGAATTGAGTCGCTCGAGGCTATATATGGATGGGACGAATGGAGGCTGGAGAAGTTGAGAGGGCTGAAGGCGAAATGGGATCCTCAGAACCGGATGAGGTTCTACAATCCTATTGTCTAGGGCTACAGGTTTAGTGTCTTCCTGGTTACCGTAGAGTAGGGGTTAAAGACGTGAAGCAAAGTCTGGTGTGTAAGGTAGGTATAACATCCACCGCGAAGGCCAGATCAGTCTCCCTACATCCAATCTTCTTTGGTGGTTGCAATAAGCAGTTTCTTCACAAGTTTCCCTTCAGTTAAGTTATAAAATACTCATGGAGTCTTTCGTTGCCTTCCTTTACTCTATACTACGTAGCTTTCCTTGCGATATGAAGCCGCTGGAACATGTTACACATAACTCGTTCAAATTCTCCCCTCCGCTACAGGTGCTCAACTCAGGTGGTTTGCCTTGTTAGACCTCAAAAGTTTAGGGTCGATCTCGAACTGGGAGAAATTGTCGACCAAGTCATCCCACATCTTGGGGTCGTGCTCATGCTTCTCTTTGCTGTTCCAGGCATAGTCGGTGATGGTGAGAGCTCGGCTTGTCTCGAACATGAAGGCGATGGAGCCGAGCGAAATCTGCATTTGAGGGGGATCTGCCTTGGATGCAGCAGCGAACTGCTCGTATGCGACGCCGTGAGGCACAAACCCACACTCAAACGAGATACTTCCGGGCTGGAACTCATCGGATCGACCTCCGTATTCGCCATAGATCAGACCCATCAGCTCAGAAGCGCAGTTTCTGTGGTAGTAGGGCGGGCGATAGGTGTGAGATGCAACGTCCCATCTAGGAGAGAAGATCAAGAAGTCGGCCAGGGGCGCAGCTGGATCTCGGGACTTGGCCGTCAAGACACAGAAGATTGACGGATCAATGTGGTCCACGGAGATGGAGCCCACGTTGACAAACTTGGTGAGATCATACTTGAACGGCACGTAGTTTCCGTGCCACGCAACCACATCGAAGGGGCAGTGCCGTTGTGTGCTGTTGAAGAACTTTCCGCCGATCTTGTACACGATATCCCAGGGGTCTTCTTTCGTGACCTCGTATGCGGCAACCGGGTGCAAGAAGTCGCGCGCGTTGGCCAACCCGTTCGCTCCCAAAGGACCCAACTCGGGAAGTTCCCAGTTTGAGCCCCAGATCTCCAGGATGTATCCACGAGTCGGCCCTTCAACGTTTACCTTGAAGCGAAGACCACGCTGGATGACGCAAATCTCACCAGGCTGCACGTACAAGAAACCGAACTCAGTTTGGATGTCCAGAGCACCCTGCTGAGGCACAATGAGCCAGTCGCCGTCGGAGTTCGCAAAAGCTCTTTTCGTCATGCTCTTATTGCAGAGGTAGACATGAGTGGCGAGGCCCTCGCGAAGAGTTGGATCTCCAGAGCCGGCGACAGTCTTGAGACCATCGACAAAGTCCAGATCTTGGCCGTCAGGGATCGGGAACGGCTTCCAAGCCAATTGAGTGGGTGAGACGTGAACTCGGGGGTTGATCGGGATAAAAGTCGACTCAGTGTCTTTGTTATCGGGAAGATCGGTCTACAAGAGAGAAATCAGCGACAAATTCCAAGATTGATGAGGGAAAAAGGACTTACAAATCCCTGGTGAGCAACAGCTGGTCGCGACCGGTAGAGCCAAGCTTTCTTGTTGGAATGCCTGGGCGCGACAAAGGCCGAAGCCGTCACCTGTTCGGCGTACAATCCATATCTGATGCTTCTCGGGCTATTCTGGCCCCTTGGAATCGTGCCGGCGATAGCCTCTGACTCGAAGCTGTTGTTGAAACCGGGCTGATAAGCGTACGGGTCGTTCGGGCGCGTCGCAAAGGAGGGGACTGCTCCGTCTTGCTGCGTCGCCGCCCAGTGGAAGGCGTTTTGGAAGTCCTTCGGCTTAAGATCTTTTGGCGCTGCCATTGTGAAGTGAAGCTAGCTCTGAGAATGCGAGGAGGGGTTATTGGATGAGGGGCTGACGGTAACGACGGCTCAATGGAGCTATCTATCGCTTTTGTACGAAATGCTCCCCTGTCCATTGAGGAAAGCTTCACCCCACATGGAGCTATCTGAGCTTGGGCAGCTACTCCACACGGCCTTTGCGGCAGTTTGTACGTTGGAGCGTGTGGAGGCTCGGAGAGCTTCGTTGTCGTGCTGAGACGACCTGTGTGGGATTCCACTCCAGACCTGTCTCTTAGTGTGCGGGGATGTGGTGTCTCTGTCATGACTGACAAAGTCGCCGAAGTGGGCTCGTGCTCCAATGCGGGCACAACGATTAGGTGTGCATAGTGTGTTCCGGATGAAGAAACACCACTTGTTATGAAAGGTGGCTATTAGAATGTTGTCTGCACAATTTCATATTGAGTTCGATCAGGCAGGGCAGACTTTAATTGCTGTCACAACGTAATTATACGCAATGTCGTTACTCAAGTTATTAAGTTTTCTTTCTATTTCCATAGTTGTAGCTCACTTTTACATCAAGAGCAGAACAACTGCCACTCCAAAGGGGTATAAGACCATTCCAGGACCAAAGGGGTGGCCTTTACTAGGCAACGCGCCACAGCTAGGTTCAGCACCACATCGACAAGTCCAGCGATGGGCTCAAGATTATGGCGAGATTGTCAAAGTCCGCCTCGGCTGGGAAAACTGGGTTTTCGTCAATAGCCCAGATGCCGTCCGCGAGATATTTGACAAACAATCGGCAAAGACCTCTGGAAGGTCACCAATGCCGGTACTCTCTGACCTTCTGTCCGGGAGCAACAGGCTCTTACTTTTGACTTACGGGTCCAAATGGCGACAATTGCGAACGATTGTGCACAAGCTCCTTACGCCAAAAGCTTCAGACACGTACAAGCCATCACAAGAGTTTGAGGCCAAACAACTTCTCTACGACATTGCGACCGACAACACAGATCAAGAAAGTTTCTACATGCATGTCCGCCGGTATACCACATCTGTTGTACTCACCAGTACGTACGGACTTCGTGTTCCTAAGTGGGTACGTAGTTGTTTTTGTGTCAACTCTTCGAAGAGGAGGAAAGCTAACTCCTAGTCTAAAAACACAGGACTGCGAAGATGTGCGTCAGATCTACGACCTTCTAAAAGACTTCACCGAGGTTGCAGAGCCTGGCGCTTACATCGCTGACATGTTTCCTCCTCTTGCCAATCTTCCATCGTTTCTCCAGTGGTGGCGTCCGGCTGCTATTCGGGCTTACGAAAGGCAGAGAAAAATCTGGATGCATTACTGGGATGGCTTGAAGACTTCGGTGGCCGAGAAGAAAGCACCTGAGTGCTTCGTGAAGCAGTTCATGGAGTCAGACTTTGAGAAACTCGGCATTACCGATGTTCAGGCCGGTTTTGTTGCAGGCTGTAAGTATCATATCCAGCTCTACTATTAATTGTATGCGGAGCACTAACTCAAGTAAAGCCATGATTGAGGCCGGATCTGAGACAACTTCCTCAGCGTTGAATAGCTGCATTCTTTACCTGGCGGCGAACCCCAGAGTACAAGACACCGCCAATGAAGAGCTAACGAGGGTGATTGGCGACGAGAGATCGCCAACTTTTGCAGACGAAGCCAGCCTGCCCTATATCAGAGCAATTGGGAAAGAGGTCCTCCGCATCAGGCCAGTAACCACGATAGGAAGCCCACATTACACGACCTCGGACGTCATCTATAAGGATTATTACATCCCCAAGGACACCGTCGTTGCGATTCCTCAATACGTGTTACATTTCAGCTCCGATAAATGGACCGACCCTGAAGATTTCAACCCATCACGTTACTTGGCGTATCCTGAAAAGGCTGGCTTTTACGCCGCTCAGGGAGACGCTAAAGCTCGTGACCATTTTGACTTTGGTGGAGGGAGACGCATCTGCCCTGGCATGCATCTAGCCGAGAACAGCCTGTTCATCACACTGGCTAAGATCTTGTGGGCTTTCAAGATTGAGCCGGCGTTAGACCCGAATGGCAAGGAATTGCCGATAGATCTGTCCGATGAAGCTTATGAACCGGGTATCAATACTCTTCCCAAACCCTTCAAGGTCCGATTCGCGCCACGCAACAACAGACGAGCTGAAGTTCTCAAATCCGAATGGTTCCAAGCAGAAAGAGAAGGATTCTACTTGGGAAGCGTCAAAGTCGACACGAAGGGAATGGTTGTAGCATAGTTAGGTATTCGAAGAGCGCGACGGGGAGTAACGGAGGGCGATCCGCTCGTGTTCCGTCTTTCGAGTCATTGGTTGCGTTTCGTCCGAGCTGTAACATACAAGAGCCACACGTCTGCATGGGTCAAACGGGGCATTAAGACCAATAGCAACCAGCATATTTGTACAAGGCCACCTCAGATCCAATGTTCTCAATGCCGGTGGACACAAATGCGATGAACCCCACACTTTTCCCCGCAACCGCCGTGGTAGCGAAGAGTTGATAATAACTTACTGATCAGCTAACTGCGCACGCTGCGGCGGCCCGCGGGCGTTCCCCATGTCCGTCTTGGCGCTATTTTGTCGATCCTTGATGACGATGCGGTCTGGTTGGTTCCTGAGGACGATACTCCAACAAACTGAGTCGTGTTTCCCCATGTTCTCCCCAACAACGCCATAGAACTTACTGCTCGTCTTACTTTATTCTCGAGATACCCGTCATACACCTTATCGACAAACATCTTACTTTAGTTATCTCACCCGTCACCAAACCCAGAATATTTGTACCTCATGTCCTCCACCACATCCTTACCCGTCCATGGGCCCGGACAAGTAGTCGCGTCGACAGAGACGGCAAAGGCAGGGGAAAAGCGTGCTCGCAGGACCGCTCGCCCTTATAAGTGTGCCCACTGCCCTAAGGTCTTCAAACGCAGTGAGCATTGTATTCGCCACGAGCGAAGTCATACAAACGAGAAGCCTTATGCCTGCCAGTACTGTTTGAAGACATATTCAAGAAAGTGAGGCTCCCTCATGATAGCCTGGCACTGTCTGAGCGATGGTCAGAGATTAATCGGAAGGCAGAGACCTCGTCACGCGGCATGAAAAGACACTGCATGCGGAACACAACAGCAAAGTCGTCGATGATCCGTCTAATGATGATGATGACGATGCGTCGTCGGAGGCAAGTTCGAGTGAAAGGGAGCATGACCCTAAACGGCAGCGTGCCTATCGCACCCCTCTGAGCCAGCCCTCGCTGGGAGATGGCCCAAGGAGAGACTCTTGCTCTTCGACTCTAGTTTCCAATAGCATTGTGGTCTCAACGCAACCTAAGAAACTCTCGAGAGAGATTCATCAATTTCGGCAGCGCGGGCAAGCGGCTCCCACTCCTCCACAAACGCACAATATCTCCATCTCAGATTCTCCAGACGCCTTGGACATGTTTTTCGAGACTCATACCGAATCGATTTTTGGCAATAGTCGACCTCAAGATCTACCCATGACACAAGGGGCAGTCTTTGATCACCTGCGGACCCAACTCACTGAAGGAACCGCAAATAGGGGTCATGTACCAAACGGGCACCCTTCGCTGCCAGAAAATGGCTCAGCTCTCGGCTCCTTGGACTCTTTTCTTGCAGATCCAATTTCACAGTCGGTATTGCCTATATCTGAGGAGCCGTTTGACTTCGCACATGACTTTGGTTTCCTCGACGCTCCAGATTGGATGGGATTATCGAACACAGGCACTGGCCTTGAGGCTTCGAATGACTCGACTGCCAGCCCTCCAGAGAAGTCATGCTCCTTTGAGAGGAGTCTTCATCACGCAGATGGAGAGACTTGGCCAGAAACCTTGAAGTCTACATCCCAAGCCGTTACCGGGCGCAAGCTTCCACGTCTGCTTGAGAATAAGCGATGTACGAAGCCAAGTCTTACCATGGACAAGCCCATGCATGACTCAATTTGCAGAGACGTGAATAAGAGACTTACTGGACCTGACATATCCAAGGACATCCCTCCGTTGAAGGCTTGTCAGAGCTTTCTCTCCAGTTACGTGGAGTGCTTTCATTGCCACTTGCCCCTGGTTCACCTGCAGACTATTTCGCATGGTGACATTCCTAGCCCCCTGATACTGGCTATGTGCAGTATCGGGGCTCTCTATCGCTTAGATCGCCGTCGAGCCCGGCGTCTTTGGGATCTTGCGCTGAGGCTGATTGAGCCAGTGAGTTACTCCTTCTCTGATCTTATATTCAAGGCGAACTTCAGAGCTAATGATTGTGTCCCCTGTAGATCCTCACGAGGGATTGTCCACTCTGGGTTATGCAAACGAAGTTTCTCTTAACGTTCTTCGCAACATTCAGTGGCGACAAAGACTTGGCGGCCCAGTCTATAGGGGAGTGTAGCCATTACACTTTAGTAGGTTCCAGCCCATTTTTCAGTGTTGCTATAATATGTAATAGAGAGACCAGAGTCAATACTTACATATTGATAGTTGTACGCAAAGATGCGGCGTCAGCTGCAAGAAGATAACGCGGACCTCCTGAGTTCAACATGGGCAGACTGGGTGCAACGCGAATCATGGAAGAGACTCCTTGGTGCCATTTATGTGACAAACACGGTCAACACCATCATCTACGGCCTCAGTCCTGCCTTCAATGCCAGTCAAGATCTAGAAATTGAGCACTTCCATGACGAGAACCTCTGGAATGCGTTATCAGCCAATGAGTGGCGAGAACTGCGAGCCGCTTACAGAAAGAAGAACTCAAGAACCACCAAGGACATTCTGAAAGATGTTTTAGCCGAGAACACCGATGATTGCAGTTTCGAATCATACAACATCTCACCATTCTCTGCGCTCATCCTGGTACATGCTATCCTCATACACACCTGGCAACTCTCCCAACTTTCGGAAACCTCAGCGATTTTCTCCTTTCGTTCAATAACTGGGACTTCCTCTCTAGGGAGCTCTCTTCTCTCAAATGCCTTAATCTCTCTAGACAGGTGTCACGGGCTACTGAAGCAAACTCGAGAAGGTCAGCTTGAGGATATGGACGACAACGACATCACGTCCCTATGTTTCAGCTCACATGCGATCCTTAGAGCCGCCTACATCCGGCTCTTTGATAACACTAAGAGTTTCGATCGTCTCTGTCTGCTCGCTGAAGACCCAAGCACCATGAACAGCAACGTCACTACGTTCGCGAACACGAAGCTAGAGAGGAACATCGACTGCGTGAAGGTCATCGAGAAGACGCTGGAGGGTATCCAGCTACCAGTGAAGATGGGCCACATGCTCATACGTAAGACAGCTGCTTTCCGATGGAGCGTAGAGCATGCGGTTGCAGCTTGGGACAATGGTAAGTACTACTCCGCAGGTGAAAGACTTTGAACTATGCTCAACTAACATTGAATAGTACTATTCACCACGAAATGGGCTCACGCGATCGAATTAGACAGGAGAAGGGGCATCGAGCCCAGTGCAGCTGAACTAGGCCTGCTCATGAAGATCAAGGACGTACTCGAGGAATCGGACTATGACACAGATGAGAGCACATCCCTCGCTGCAGGCTTAGCTAAAACTTGCAGTCTATTCCTTCAAGACGTAAGTTACTGATTCCAGTGATTGTCTTCTTTAGCACTTGATAACTGACGATGTGTCGCTAGGTATGGGTATGGGGTATCACAGTCAGGATGGGCGATGTTCTAGAGCGATTGGCACGGGCATACGAGCGAGAGATGGAGGCTGCTGGGCCTGCATGTCAACCACAGAACTAGTGCATAGAAGGCGCGATCTGCATTGTCCTATACGTGGGGAGGTATATCAAACCTATACCGTCCCGCAGGTGTGTGATCAGTCATCAAGAAACCAATGAAAATCCTTGTGCGGGCATGATATCTCCGCAGAGCTTCCCTGCTACGAGCACACTCCCGTCCGAGCCAACCAACCTCGCAACTAGTCCAACGTCATCATCAGATAAGAAACGGTTTCATTACTACCACTAAATCTTGTAAAGTGTATCAAAGCGCAGGTAGAGCATTACTGGACAAGACTGACTGATGAGACTAGCGCTAGAGTCAATATCAGCGGCATGAGGTGAGCGCTATGCCACAGTCTTCAAGATACCATTTCGAGCGACTCCGAGGCTTCGATGACGCTCAACGTGAACTGACAAGCCTGGTTTATTGGAAAATAGTCCAGCATGACGTTCCGTGTAGCAAAAGCAGCCGATGCTCAGGGCGCGATGAATGGCTTGACGCGTTGCTGACGCGATCCTCACAGCAGCTGCATGTGGGGGAGCTCTCAAACTGCTCGAAATCCCATGCGGGGTAACGTGGGGTAGCTATCAGGAGCTTCAACAGCAAGACAGAATACATCGCGGGATTCGCTCCGGGTGATCCGGTCGCTCGCCTCCAGGATGTGGAATCAATATCGCTCACCAGCTTGAAGTTAAGTCGATAAACCAGGATCGCATTCACGCTGCCGGGTTGAGGATATCTGTTTCTGAAGTCTTTATTGAAATCTCCGACCAAATTGACTCCTGCGCGTACATTACCTTAGCCACATTGAAGTCATCGGCCAACCGAGTATTTTCTCCATCTGTATCAACTTTTTGACGAGCTATTCTGAACTTCCAAAAGCACTGTATAATCAAGATGGTCTCAAATGCCCAAGATTTCGATCACCCAATCATTGGGAAAGTCAAGGGCAAAGCATCCGACGGAGTAATCCAGTTCCTCGGCCTCAAGTATGCTACTCTACGGCACTGGTTCGACAATGCGAAGCTTGTCCAGTACGATGGCAGTGGACTCAACGCTACACGCCACGGGTGTGTTATCCTCATGTTTTGTTGTAACACCAAATTACTTAGTTAATCGTGTTTATCAGTCCGCAAGCCGTATCCGACCCAGACGGAGTGAAGAATGAACACATGATCATTCAGAAGTCGCTCCCAATACCCGAATTCCCCGGTCTCTCGGGGACCGAGTGTCTCAATCTGAATCTCACAGCGCCCCTTGAGATTGGTGACCTAAAGCAATTGCCAGTTCTGGTTTTCATTCACGGCGGAGGGTTCGGCACGGGATCCAACTGGTGGCCTCAGTATGATACCAAGCGCATAGTCCAACATTCAAACAAGCTTGGGAAGCCCATCATCGCCATCAACATCAAGTATAACATATCTTCCCCAAATACACCGTTCTAGCTTTCGTAACTAACATCTGATAGTTACCGCCTCGGAATTCCTGGATTTCTGACATCTGAGGAGCTTCGCAAAGAAGGATTCAAGAGCAATCAAGGTCATCATGATCAGAGGGTGGCTTTGGAGTGGGTGGGAAAATACGCGTCGGGATTCGGGGGAAATCCTCAGAGTGTGACCGTTGTAGGTGAAAGCGCTGGTGGCAGTAAGTCTCATCCGTCGGTCCTTCGGCCTTTCGGTCTCGAAACCGAGACCGCATCTCTTACTTTTTTCTAGTCTCGGCGGCCCGTCTATTATACTCTGAGAAAGCTCTTGCCTCTCAACTCATTATCTTGGGAGGCTCGCCGCCGTCCCTCGCACCCCTGGAGCTTGGTGTGGCTGAGCAGGCGTACAAAGGCGTTGTAAAAGCTTTGGGAGCTGAAGATGTGAGTTCGAGTGAACGTATCAAGATCTTGTCAAGGGCGTCCCCCGAAGAGCTCTCCTCGAAGATTGGCAGAAGCCTTCCTTTCCTGCCGGTTCTCGATGAAGAAACAGTCCCGTTCGTGCCGACGTTCGAGACGGCGTCAGCTGGGAAGCTAATTCCCAAGACAACATCTTGTAAAGCTATCATGGTCGGGTACGCCCCCTTGGATGTGAGTACCATCAATATTTCGGTCACATTCTCGGCTTAATGTAACTAAACCAACCACACAGGCGAGCATATTTGGGTTTATGGGTCTTTTCCAGCGAAAGGAGAACATCGCAGCCTCGTTCACGCAAATCATCAACACAGCTATGTCACACCATGCGGGCATTGCTGCGCAGATTCTGCAGGCATACGACATTAATGACACCACAAACGACGATGAGGCTTTCATCCGAGTTCTGCAATTCGCCTCTGATATTGGATTTCGGGCAACGGCAGAGTCATTTGCCAACAGCTTTCACGGCGACTCCTATTTGTTGGAGTTTGCCGAGCCCAATCCGTGGGAAGGGCCATTTAGGGGCTACAGCACCCATGTCCTCGACGTGGCATTCCTCTTCCAAAACTATAAGGAACATCTTGGAGAGGAGCAGCGAAAGTCCGCCGAATCATTTGTCACCGACATAGTTGACTTTGTTCATGGTCAAGCTCCATGGAAGCGGTTTCAAGATGCCGGCGGGCGGGTGGTGTACCAAGATGGGACGAGAGCTTACAAGGAGGCCGGGGCTAGCACGGCACGATATGATTTGCTGCTCGAGTTGGGTGAAAAGATTGGGCTGGACACACTACTGAAGGGTTGGGAGGCATTCCTGTTCCATCAATAGATGGTCCACGGACCAACTGGGGAGCTTCAGGCGAGGGGATGCTTGTCAAAGGCATCGGGTGGTATTTATCAATTCTCAGAAGAATCTCCCGTATTGTCGGCACGTTTACTGGGTATCTTCCTAACGGTCTCTACTCCCTGAATCTGTGATCAAAACGCCAAACACTCGTTGCTTCAAGAATTTCACGTGTGGCACACTTTCAATATGTCTGTGTGCTTTCAACGGCCTTCGGGATTCCTGATCGGTACCTTCACGCGAAGAATCACGAGATCTCTTGGTAATTGAGTGATAGTTTAACTGCACTTCAACGGCGAATCTGAAGGGGTGTGTGTGTTTATGTGTGTGTATGTGTGTGTTTTTGCCGCGGAAATAGTCACCTGATGCGGGGTCGACTTGCGAAGATAGAGCTCCTGACCGCGGGGAAACCATCATTACTCATCCAGTGTCCTCCACTTGACACTTGGTCTTTCGTCCGGTGTATCCTGTCCCACGGAGATGACCTAGAGCTCGGATTACAGTTAGAAATCCTGTCAGAATTAGCGTAACTCTGTTTGTTCTTTCCTATGCCATTGGAATAACGATGGCCTATACTCTCGAAAGCAAATCTCTGGGTTCAACTCTATGTGGCGTTGATTTAGGGACGATCGCACAGTTTAGAGGCATCCCATATGGCAAGATTGTTTCGCGATTTGCCCAACCCGAGCCAATAGTGGCACTGCCGCAAGACATCAACTGTACTAAGTTTGGGTACGTTCTTTCTGACGTTCGGTCTGAACATTTGTCGGTGAAGGAAAGGCTGACTAGTTCTCGTGTTCACAGCCCTCGGTGTCCACAAGTCAAAGTTGATGTAGGGCATCTATTGCGTATACCTCCTGAGCACAGGCTACCCGTTGAGGCCGAAGATGAGTTTCGATGCCTCAACTTGGACGTTACGGTGCCCAAATCACAAGAACTGCTGACGGCTCAAAGATTACCTGTTTTGGTCTGGATACACGGTATGCTTGTCAAAGTCAGGGGCTGATGTTTTGACTAACACGGACATCTCAGGCGGCTCACAGGCGGTTACTTTTGGAAGCGCGGCCTCTGGCGTGTGCGGTACGAACTGCGCCCTGCTTTCCGCTATGTCCCCTTATCCGCCCCCAAAAGATCCTTCGTGAAATGTATCGTACTAGCGCTAGCATACTAGGCACTGACAGCTGCAAACTTTAGACACGAGAAGAATAGTGGAAGATTCCGTGAACTTGAGTAAACCCGTCATCGTCGTGACAGTTCAGTACAGACTCAACATCTTCGCGTTCGGAAGCGAAAGTAGCTCAAGTAACCTCGCTCTAAGAGATCAATCATTGGCTCTTAAATGGGTCACTGATCACATTCTGGATTTTGGAGGTGACCCGGTAATAAGTCACATTCCCATCTGCCAAAGACGGGAGACCACTGACAGGCTTCCGTAGAATGATGTCTCACTGGCTGGAGAAAGTGCTGGAGCGGTATACTGCCACGCCCACATAGCGGCTGGCCTTGAAGTAAGAAGAGTCATACTCTCTTCTGGCTCGCTGTACCTTTCTCCTCCTCAGCCAAGGACAAAGGCTTCTGTTTTACGCCAAACACTCGTGAATCATCTTGGTACACTGGGTGACTTTGACTTGAGCACAGCCCCTGTTGAAAAATTGGTGAAGGCCATAGAACTGGCTGGAATACATTCATGGTTCCTTCAAGTGGATCCTACTCTTGTTGGGTGGGAGACAGCAATAGGGGCTGCGGAGAGCGTGATGATAGGTGATGTTCGAGACGAGGTATGTGTTGTACCCATGGGCTTGAACTGGTTGCCCTCCTTCCAATTAACCTTCACAAATAGGCCGTTCTCTGGCGAGAGGGCATATGGAAAATGGAAGCTTCAGAGATTGCTCAGGCATTCAGCTATGCCGGCGAACACCAGGACACGCTCAAAAAACTCTACAACATTCATTCTGACAGAGCCTCCGCTTCCAAGATAGGGGCGTTGGACTTCATGAATGACTACAAATTTCTTCTCCCAGCGGAGAACATTGCTCGCCTATTTAGGGCAGCAAACAAACCCGCCTATCGATATCTCGTTGATGAGTGCAACCCCTGGCAACCCTCAAATGGAGCTCATCACGCGGTGGATTTGCTTTTTCTCTTTGGAGGATTTGATCTTTCATTTGCTCCTGGTGCACAACAGACTGGAAAGCAGATGCGCAAGTCAGTGGCCGAATTCCTTCACGCCCAGGAGCCGTGGCAGTTGGGTAGCTATGCAGCGTTCGGACCCTACGGGATGTTTCAAGAACTTGATAGCGTCGGCGTCAAGCTCCGGAGACGATCGGAACAGGCGGAATTTCTGCATTCGGTTCCTTCAGAGATCTTGGATAAGGTGTTCTTTGCCCTTGCGGCCGGCCGGATCAGCTTACTAAACTGATGGCAGCCACGAAGCGCGTCACAATAGTACGCATACACGTACGAATAGTAGTTCAGTAGTAGTCTGGTAATTTCAATATCTCCAAAGTTTGGCAAGTCTTTCCAGTATTGATTTTCCAGATTCCCGCTACCATTGGTACTGCCCAGAATCGGAGACATATGACTCGCCCGACCAGACTTGACAGCATCTTGGATCGCTCTGATGCCAAACTAGACTAAAATGTGCTTGTGGCCTGCCCTGCGATACGTGCGTTCGTGGACCATGTCCGTATGCCTGTTCGTGTCGGCCTCTCGAAATGCTACCACCTGCCTCACATGGGTCCTCTTTCCGACGGGACGACGGTTGCGGGGTTTAACTCGCTGCTTTTTGACAAAGAGACTCCGCAAACCGTTCGATTTTTGAAATACAGCCATGCCGAAAATAGTCAGGCCAACAATCAGTGGGCCACCTAGGTGCCTGATGAAGAGAAAACTAAGGCAATCTAATTAGATAGTACCCCATGTGGGGGACACACACAACATTGTTACATCGCTGAGTGATGGATGGTGGGGTCCACGGGTGTTTGTGGAGGCCACGTCCGGCGAGCGTTCATCCTGGATGTGGAGGAGTTCCGGTGCCCGCGCCGGTGATGGGCGCGGGGGAACGGGGATCATGCGGTATTCACATGAGACGTAGAGTGAGTGAGCAACGCATCATCGAATGTAACTTCCAACGCATTCATAACTGCAAAGGTTCTTTTACTTCAAAACAGACCCTGAGTGTACTCCGTGGATTTGCAGATGCACACGCCCTTACTGTATCTTACATTTGACCTGAGCCACACATTATTACACGTACGGATACACCGTACATCAAATTTACCAGATAATTATCTTCGCGTGAACCCTCCCGAGCCACGTCTTTTCGCAATATCCCCATAGCAATTGGGTGACCGAACCTTCTTTGACAGGCACACCTCCCCTCTCTGACTAGCTAGCCATGTCCCCAGGGCTGAAAAATGTAAACACGCTGGCCTGTCCGCTATCAAACTTTGACTGAGCATACCCTTTAGGTTATTATTGTCGGGGCCGGCCCTGCTGGGCAGCTGCTAGGGCTGCTTCTGGGTCGGGACGCCATTCCCGTTACGATCGTCGAGCAGACATTGGAGCTCGACGATAAGCCCAGAGCCACCCATTACGCTCCACCGGCGATGAAGGTCCTGAATCGCGCCGGCCTGGGGAGCGACCTGCGGAAATACGGGTTTCTTCCCGATGGAGTTGCATGGCGCAAGCCAGACGGGACGCGCATTGCGGGCATCAGCAACGAGATTGACGGTGATGATCCAGATCGCATGGTTGCACTGCCCTTGTGCGACCTGGCGCGGTTGATCTACGATCACTCGAAGCATCTACCATCCGTCACGTACCTGTTTCATCATCGGGTGACAGCAATCGGTCAGGACGATTCCCGTGCCTGGGTCGACGTGGAGAACGGGGACACAGGGGACAAGTCACAGCTTTTTGGTGACTTTGTTATTGGGTGCGACGGGGCTAACAGTATTGTCCGGCGATCGTTGTTTGGGAACGAATTTCCTGGCAAGACATGGGATGAGCAGATTGTGGCCACGAACGTAGGTTATACCTTCTTTCGGCCCGTTGTCGATGTGGTCCTCTCTATCGAGAAGCCCGGGTGCTCGAGTGTCAGGTCGACGAACTGATGATCTCACAGGTGTACTACGACTTTAGTCGCTTTGGGTACTCAGACTCCAACTTCATTCTAGACTCAAAGGACTGGTTCATGGCGGCCAAAATCACCAAAGATGGCCTATGGCGTGTAACGTATGGTGAAGCTACGGGCTCGACCCCCGAAGAGATTCTCGGCAGGCAGCCGGAGAGGTTTAGAAGTATACTACCTGGACACCCTAAACCGGACGAGTACAAGCTCGTCAGTATCAGCCCATACAAGGTCCATCAACGGCTAGCCAAGAGAATGATTGCCGGCCGGATTTTGCTCGCTGCAGATGCAGCGCACCTCTGCAACCCCTTGTAGGCATCTTTGCTCTTTTCGCTCGGTAATTTCCGTGGCCCGTAGCGCGCAGGTTGTGCTGACGATCGTCATGGTAGTGGGGGTCTCGGCCTCACCGGCGGCATCGTCGACGTCGAAGGCCTCTACGAGTGTTTGTCCGGGATACATCGCAATAAGGCGAGCCGGAGCATTCTGGAAGTCTACGACCAAGTGCGGCGACAGAAGTATCAAGACATTATTGACCCGATATCCAGCGAGAATTTGCGACGCATGTTCAGCGTCCACCCCGACGAGGTGCTGGCTTCCGACCCGTTCCTCAAGCTTTGCAAAGATGCTGAATCGGATCAAGAAAAGCTGAAGGAACTGAGCAAGGTGAGTTTGGATGACAGGCCACTCTGACGTTTTGATCGTTATTTCTTTTCGGTTTCGCAGTTTGGCTCACAAAAAGGTTCTCCTGGCAGGGCGCACAAGCACTGGGCTATGACTTTACGAAGCATTACACTTCTGGAGATGGTGGTGTAGGAGGGGGACTAGGCACTCGTCTTTAGCAACAAATAAGCTGAGCTAGCAGCGAAATAGAAGACTCACCGGCCCAAATCGATTGGTTCTCGGGAGAAGCCGAACCACCATAGCAGAAAAAGACCCGGCACTGGGAGCATTGTTTGCCGCAATAGGCTAAATGCAAATATGCTCGATGTTGTCGAATCTTTGACAATGCATGAACTGTCAAACTGAACCAGCAGAATGGTAGCTTCTGCCACACCGTTGGTCAGCCCTGTGCGCCTGGCTACTAAGGATGAATTGCCGACAACTAAACTTTTGAAAAGCGTAACAGACAGACTGCATTCGGGACACCCGATGGCAAGCTCGTCCAAGCACACGAGATCTCGCAACCCACAAGGGGGTGACGGGGGGGAGGGTGTGTAGGGAAAAACTCTGACCAAAAGAAACAGCGACGAGAAAACATTGACCTGTGGGTGATCCGTTTCTTCTGCCCTGCACAGAGTCGGCTCGCAACTGTGCCCTCTCAAGGGAAACAGGGAGAGGGAGGGCAAGCGCCGTGAGCCATAATAAGCGCAGGAGCTGTCAAATCAACAAGAAGCGCAAAGAAAGTTCGCCGGATGTTCGATCTCACGGTAATTCGCTTTCGCTATCCCTGAAAGCTTCTGGTTCACTTAGCTTTGTGCAACCCAAGGAGAAAATAGCTACCCGTGCAAGCCTCTCGAATGATTACCCGGCAAGTGGGCAATTTTGGCTAGTTCTTGTCTGGCAATACCTCCGCTTACCAGGTCGCCGTGCAATGGCTGAACCTTAATAAAGACACATCACGGAGCGGTCCGATTGGGAGGGAACAGTGATAGGCCAGACAAGGACGCTGACCATCACTTCTCACTTATACGCTGCAAGTCCCAAGCGGCAAGCCAGCATACCAGCGGGTGATTATACGACAGGAATGGACGTGAAAGATAGCACATAGGGACCCGTAAGGAAGTGGAAGGGGGTGCAGGCTGGCGATAATCAAGGGTGTTCCTGTTCGACCGAGCTTGAGATTCATGGCGACCTAAAAGAGACATGTGAAACCACAGCTGCCCGAAAAAGGGCATAAGGGAAAAGGATGAAATGTTCGGGGGAATTTGGCATCTAGTGTCTGATAACAATAAGGTTTGAGGCTGCCCCCGAAGGGCGCATTTGACGGCAATTTGGGAAGCCCACCGGCAGGCTTCTCTCGGGGGTTGCTGGCGCTGGTGAAAAAGGAAAAAAAAAGAGAAGCTGAGGCCAAGAAGCCGGTCCCCGGTCGACATTCCACGAGTAGAGACGGACGGTTGAATAGCAGCCCTAACAGCGAGAATTGTGGCTGGGCTCAGACTGACTGTTTCCAGGCAACCTTACTGGGACGGGGATGACGTCGGCTAGCCGACGCCACGTAAACTCTATTTGTATGACGCTTTTTCTTTTTTGTGTTCCAAAGGTTGAGCCCCTGTTCGTGTTATGTATGTGCTGGAGTGTGTGTGTGGCATGTCCCTGTGTGCGTCCTCTGAGTGTGAGTAGCTAGTAGGTATGAAAGTGCGTGTCGGGGGCCGCTAGTACGGAGTACACCAGTCAGTCAAGTCAGTCATGTCAGGTATATCGGGTCATACAAGGGGTTAACTCGGGTTCAAGCGTCACTGTCACGACTCTGACTTGCAGTAGTGTTGAGTTGTAAAAGTGTCAAGTTGCGAAAGGTTGCTCCAGCTCGACGAAAGGGAGACTAGGCCGAGCCAGCCCGTTTCCTCGGGCATGCTTCCGTAGCAGTGCAGCGGCAGTAGCAGCAGCCAAAAACACGTGAGGAGAAAACCTTTTTGTCGAGCCGTTTGCAACTGTGGCTGTGACGGCGCCGCTAACAAATACAACAAGCGACGAAAGTGTATGATGCCGAGGCGGATCGTTCTGCCCAGTTCCACCCCCCCTTCCGCCTCGGAATTTCTGCCCACGCAGTAATTCGGTTCTGTCTGCCCATCGACGATCCTTGCTTGACCAGGTTAGGCTGGCGTTTGATGGGCTAGACTCTGGCTACGTGCTCCTCGTCTCTCTCGACTGATGCTCACTCGCAACACACCCACCGGGCCACGGTACAACACCCACACCTCTTTCTCCTCCTCAGCCATAGATACATGTATACACACCCAGGAGGAGAAGAACAGACTAAGACAGGCTCGGCTTACCTTGCTTTGGCACAACTGACCCCACCTCCAGAGCAAAGACGAGCAGGAAGGTGGACCCTGAATATCTCGCAGTGATCAGTCTCACTGCGTCCTCGTTCTCTTCTCCGCCGTTAAAACTGTGCTGGCCTCCCACACTCTTCGGTTGAAAGTTGATGCCTGGTGCCGTTACCCGCCCGCAGGCCAGCTATGATACCCAGTAATCAACCGTTTGACAACGATAGAGACAAGCTTCGAACCGTCCTTCTTTAGGCTGTCTCTTTTGACACGTTTTTTTGGTTCCTTTTTATTTTTCTTGATCCTTTAACCCTCGGCAAACGGTTGTCGATTCTTTCGATTTACCGCCATCAACCCACCCGGACATGGTGTTGAAGCGTCGACTAGTTGATTTCCAGCGCGAACAAGATCCCTTCGCCGTCAAGGTGTTTCTCCCGCCGACCGATCATTACCGCCAACGCAACTGGATCATGACGTCCCCGGAGCAGCAGATGGACACCCTGCGAGAAGGTCTTAGCCGGGTGATTCTAGACCAGCTTGCGGAAACTCTGCGGGATTATTCGTCTGGAAACTTGGCGAACCCGGTGCTTCGATTTGAAGCTTTCATTCAGGACGGCGAGCCGGGAACGCAGGGGCAAACACCCCGCTCTCCCGTGGTTTCGGTAAGTTGCATCTCCATGTTTATCATCGCGGGCTGGACCGCGCGTTGGCGCCGGAATGTGTGCAAGTGTTCAGCTTTCGTGCTGCCCGTGGACTCCAGTTCTACAGCGCAGACAATCCCGGAGATACCCAATCAAGACAGATAAAGAGCGGATGACTCAGCATCAACTGATTTACTGCTGGGTCTATTTCACTTGCTCCTCCGTGTTGTGGCATGGGTGGTTGGGTTGCAGGTTAGGTACGAGAGGGTTTTCTGCTAACCACCATCACCAACTATACAGAAAATGGTAGACTTGTCTGGCATCATTTCACAGAGCGCAAATAACAGCCCGAATACGAGCCATGCGGGAAGAGAAAACACCATCGAACACCCGACACCGCCCACCATCAGCCCGCAATTGATGATGGACGATGTCGCGGCAAGCGCCAGCCGGGCTTTTGTCCGGACACAACGGACGCCATCCCAAGGACCGCCACAAATGTCACCCGAGACCGATGCAAATGCTTTTATTCAAAGAAGAGGAACGGGAGCTCTACGACCAGTCAGGGGAGCCGCTCCAGTGGAGGAAGAGCAGCCGGACAGCCAGAGGCATATGCAGGTTGCCAACAACTTTCCTAAACGCGCAAAGATTCAGACAGACGTCGTCTTCATCCCGCAACAGTCGTCCATTGACAAATTCGTCGTCAGCGTTTGGGAGCAGATCCACGGTGGTATCAGCTTAGATCCCCAGAGTCTGCTTGAACAGTGGCAGCTCACGGCAACGGCAGCAACAGCAACCATCAACAATGCTGGCAAGATTCACGTTCCCGAGCAGCTCGAGCTCGGCTTGCTCCAGGCGCCCTCGGCAGACGGCACGCTGACTGAGATCGACATGGAGGGAACCTTCAACCGCAGCAACATCTTTTGCCGAAAAGTTACGCAAGCCAGCCGCGCGTGCCGCTCGATTGAGGTCATTGTCCAAGCGCGGTGGATCGAGCACTTCGACTCGTATGTCGAGCTGCTTGCCATCACGAACCCGGGCATGTCCCCTACCAAACGTCGCAAGGCGGCGCTCATTGAGGCGTGTAACGATTTTGGATGGTCTGAGAAGGAGTTGCGGAATAAGATGGCCATCTGGCGCGGCTACAAGGAAATAAAGGACGCGGGAGGTTGGGCCGCGCTCGTCTTCGCCGGCATGGGACTTTACCGCTTCTGCAAGTACCGAGTTGGATTTAATCCGGATAGCATGCAACGACTCCGGTGCCTCCGGCCCCGAATTGAGGTCGCCGCCGACACTCTTCACCCCACGTGGCGCCAACTACTCATGATTGTCGGCGAGGGCGCACAGCGTCGGTTCTGCGGTCACCCGCATGACTGGGTTGTCCGCCAGGACGGTTCGGACCCAGTTCCGCTCCGGTCGACATATCTCGAATATGACCCTTACTTCAGCTTCGAACAGCTCGAACACTCCGTCATGGACATGAGCGCGTGGGGCACCGATGATCCGCGATGGGTGCCGCCGATGAACGCCGTGGCTTGCGTCCAGGGCATGCACACATGTCACTCGTGCGGCCAGGAGCAGTCCGAAGACCCCAAGATCAACTCGTGCTATTGCTTCCCGACGCTATTCGGGTCCGGGCGTCGGAGCCCCTGCCCGGTGCAGGTGTTCCGGACCTCGGACGGACGCAATAACGGCCTGATGGCTCTTTGTCCGTTCGAGCGCGGCGCGGCGATAGGAGAGTTTGTCGGCCTCATCACAAAAGACTTGCAAAATATGGACGTTATGGACAGCTCGACGGGTGTCCGGGCCTATCAGATCTGGCAGGGACGGCAGGGCAACTTCACGAGGTTCGTCAACCACAGCTGCAAGTCCAACGCGCAATTCCAGCAGTTTGTGTGGATGAGCACGCAGCGCATCATCCTGGTGAGCAAGGGCATTGAGGCGGGTCACGAGGTCACGGTGGACTATTCTGGGAGCTACTGGCGCGGTTTGGACAAAGAATGTCTCTGTGGAGAGTCATGCTGTCGGTATAGGAACGCGGCTCGATAGGAGGAAGACAAATGCGATGGAGTGGACTCCATACTCTGTATCCGTAGAGGAGAATTATTACTACGAAGATTAGGGCGAAGCGGGAAACGGGGTCGAGTTCAGCCACACCACTACACACGGACGAAGCTGCGGCGGAGGCTGCGGCGAAGAGGGGGTGTGTGAACAAGACCTAATTCTCATGTTCCAGTGGAAGAAAAAGAAAAGATTAATCGCAACTACCGATCATGTTTTTTTTACGATTTTAGGATTAGTCTTCGGGGTAGAGATACAGACGTGGACGGGCAGGCGAACAGATGCTTCAGGTTATTGATCGCAAGCCTTTCCTTGTTCCTAATCCTATTTGGTTAAAACATCCGAAGTCAGATTGACCAGTCAGCCGCCGCAGCATCCGAGACTCTGACAACATTCTTTTCTCCCTTCTCTTCTCCGCGACTGAGTCGACTGAATCAAACTGAATCGAGTGAGTCGCTGTTCGAGAGAAGGGAGGGAGGGAGGCACATAGGTAGGTAGGCAAATAGGTAGGCTCGGAAAGGATGGGTCCATTCCGAGCGCGTTTAGTGGTGACATTTAGCCCATATGACACCGGTAGATGAGCACCGCTTGTGTTGATCCTCGCTACATTCCAGTCCTCCATAAATCTAACCATGTGTCCTGTCCCCTCTGTCCGTCCTTCTAGCCATCTGTCTCTAGCTCACACTCACTGGCTCGCCGAGTTCGTATCAGCTAGCGGGTTCCAGGTTTGTGCCAACGCCCTGCGCTAAAGCGGCTAAAACGTGCCCCTTGAATCGCAATGCTTTCGAACTACATTAGCTCGGGCCGCCGTTCCCCGACCAGCATTTTCATCTTGGGTACTTTTACCCTTCTTAACTTCCGCCAAAGTCTCTTCTTCGACCGCTACGACGACTAGAAATTTTTATACTTTGCCAAAAGTACGCCAAAGGGAACGGCGGACTGGCCCGTTCTCCCTTCTTGGAGTTTGTCCCGAAGCTTTGAAGCTCACCCCCAAGGCGGTCTGTGAACCATGGGACCGCCGCCGCGTCAAACAGGGAAGTCAGGGTCTGGAAGCCCTGAGTGTTCCGAGGCTTATGAACGAACCCTTTTTGCCCGCCTGCTCGTGAAGTGGGCGATGGCCTTATTCTTTTGTCATCGCGTCCCGCTACCCGACGGGAGTGTGATAAACTTCAGCGCTTCAGCACTGGACCGTGTAACAAAATCTTGACGTAATAGAGAGTCCACTGGACCTCGTCTCTCGGACGAAAGGTCTTGTCCGCCCCGGTGGCCCAATCTCTTCTATGTTCCCCTTCTTCAGCCAGCCTTCGGGCTCCTGTTGGGACCTCGTTAGGACTCAGAACCTCGTACCCGAAAACTTTAGCTTTTAGCGGATGTGTCTGCGATAGCGAGATAGGTATGCGGGTGTGCGGCTGCAATGCCCATCAGATCCCGCAGGCTGTTGTGGGCTCGGTAGTAGGCTCAGTTGGCCTTGTGGCGCCTCGTGTCTTTCGTTTCTCTCGTGTCGACTACCTATGCGTAGACCGTCGCCTTTACAGTTTTGACGGGTTTTCAGGATTCCTCATAACCAGAACTAGAAGCATATTGACAGCTACTAGTTGTGGACGCTAATGAATGCTCCCCATCATCACTGGCGCGCGTGAACATGTGTATTATCTCGCGCCAACCACCGTCATCTCACAGCTCAGGGGGGGGGGGGCGCATCAGGGGGTGCTAATGAGCCACCAAAGCCCGAAAATAACATTCATGAGCACTAGAAGACCAAGACCGAGGATCTCGAAAATCCCCCGCACATCTATACTAGCAAGATGAGGATCAGAGTCCATGTGGCTTGCGAGCTAAGGAGTGATCATGCATCTCGGGCCTCATCCGGGAGTCTTCCCGCTCTTCTGAGACCGTGTCCCTCAACCGCTGGTTCTTACTGGCGCCGATGCCAATGCTCACCACTGATCCATCCCGCGCTTGACACATCGGCATATCGCAGTTAGGGGGAAATCCCACACATTTCCATATTGTCGATGCGCAGAGGCCCTCGCAGACCTGACGGAGGCAACTGTTAGCGATCAGCTACCAAGAACATGGACGAACACAGACACTACGTAGCTGAGACCGAAAATCTCACAGTGATAGAAAGGTCTCGTGACGGACAGCGTCGTCTCACACTACTGCAGGGCACAGAGAGCTGAGCAAGTAGCCTTTTTTGAGCTGACACCTCTTGGGCAGCTCGAACCGCACTGGTGCGTCCCCGAACTTGGGTTGACCGTGTAGTAGTCAGACAGTCTTTGCCCGTTTCCTTGGCGTCCCATGGTCCTCGTCAACTCTGAACTGTTTAATCGACTGTTTTGACATGCTTCCCTCACTTCCAGAAGACGGGGCTGACCACACCCACCCCCCTTCAGGCTTCTCTCCCCCCTTCTTTTCACATCACGCTTTGACGAACGGACATTGGAAAAACGGCCCATTTAGACCGTTTCGCTTTGGAGTCCTCGGATGGTTCTTATGACTATTTCTAAAAAAATTGCCGAGAATGAGAGCCGTTGAACACGTTCGAGTCAACTCCAAGAGTGGGCTATGTAGTACAAGTCTAGCGATAGTGGTGCTGAGGATCCCGCCTACGAAGCTCGGCGGAGACGCCGTCGGGCACTAACAGCAGGAGAGAAAGGTTCTTCATCCTGTCAGAACACCCCCTGCTTACGAGTTCGCCAGCACGCACCAGGCCTGATGAACGATTCTTATCATCAGTCGAGTAGTTAAGCCAGTTGTCATCCTTGTCCGCGAAGCAAGATGGTGTCCCATCCTGTGTCCGATTCTTTGAAATACTATTCAGCAGGGTAGGCTAGACGTTGCCTTTGTGTGACGAGGCCCTGTGGTGCTAGGAAGCCTATAGACATGACCATGTTCGTCTGTTGAGCTAATTACTCACAGCGTGAACCAATTTTACCCAGCTCCGGTCCACCCCCAGCATCACCAAAGATCCCAGATTTCAGCGTCAGTCAGCCCAAGAAAACTTTTTGCAACGATCGATCGAATCCCGTCGACTGAACAATCCCCTCTCCCCATCACTTGATACTCCCCTTCATCCGGGGCCTTGGCCAGAGACTTCCGGGCCCAAGAAAGTTGTGAACTTTGGCTCTCTGGATCGACTCGCTTGCCCCCAGCCATCGATTGGGACTGCTACCCAACAAACTTCTGCAGGAGCGAATAAAAGGTGATGATGGCTCGGCCATATCTCCTATTTGGCCAGAAAAAGAAACATAAACCTGGCCGAGAGATGTCAGACCAGCAACAAAGGCAGCCAGGTTCCGGGGCTGAGAAGCATTACTGCAGTGTCACGCAACAATCACGATCTGTTCCCGCCGGGAATGAACTCCCGGTCGGTACGCCACACTGGCAGGCAATCAATGTCTCATCGATTCCCCTTTGACGGACGACTCCGGGGACACGCAATCGGAGGCCCAATGGCGTCCAAGCGGTTCCCGCCGGCTATGCCTTCGTCGGGACAACTCGCGGCTAGGTCCCTATTGGCCGAAGCTCGGAATCAGGATTGGCGCGTGAATATGGCGAAAGCCTTGTTGCAAGTCGTTAGCCACAACTATGCAACCTGCAGGTGGTCGTAGTACGACTGTTCGAGTTGTCGGAGTTGCCTAACTTAGATCTTGCTGTTGGGCGAAGTAGTTGGTAGTGTCAACTCCGACGAGCCAAGAAAGAGCGTTGGAAGTCCAAAGCCTTTTGCTATCAACTCCATGTGTCTACTAACCAACAAATCGTGCGTTAAACGATCTCAACAGGAAGCTCAGGCTTAGGAGATTTGCCTAGAAATTTGCAGGAACCATGGGGGACTGTCCAATTTCCTGAAGAAGAGGACCAGGTTGAACCAGTAAGTACAATCGGCTTTTCCTACACAAATTGGACGCGTTGGTTGAGTAGAAATTGAGAGAAGTGGAAGAGTTTTCGCTGACTGAGATCTGTGTCTAATTAGCAATTCTACACGTTGACCGACGACACGACTGAACGAGCAAATAACTAAGACTCTCAGTGAATCTGCGGATTCTGCTCTCTTTATACAATCTTCGAAATCCCTTGACATTTTTGTCTAGGATTTGTCGAAAGGTTCTTTGACTTTAGCAATTGAGGCAATTTGTGTAAGTGTCGAGCGACAACTGGTTGATTTCTTACACTTGTCGCCAATCCATTATTGGAACGATATGTGTTGCAAAGATTTGAAGTCCCAGCTCAGTGCTGAATTCAAGGATGTTCCAAGAGCAACAGATTATTTCTATGGCGTATTTTGATTTCTGGAGAGGCAGACAAGTCAATTCGGCTGCGAATTGCGTCTTGTACACCGCTTTGAAATGCTGCAAAATCGATGGCGATGGCGTAAGGAAGTAGTGACAATTGTTCAGGTTATTTCTTCTACGACTTGTGGATTTCTAGATTTTCCAATGCTGAGACTCGCAGGTTACCTTAGCGTCGGCCGAATCGAAAAAAAGCAGCGTTTCCGCGGACAGGACTTCAAAGTCTTAAGACGATTTTGACAGCCGCAGTAGCCACCCGACGTCTTACAAAAGTGTCTCACAAACATTTACGTCAACTTTGACACATTGCGAATACGGGAAACAAAGCCAACAATGAGCCAATGGCAGTCTATTTGTGGACTATACCAACGAATCAGCGCCTTTTCACGATAACCTGGGAGAAGCCTGGACAGTTCTATGCTTTGACCTCGCAGGCTCGCAGGCCTTCCCTCTCTTTTTCTCCCCGCAAGTTCGCAGCGTAGACCAGATCGGATGGCTGACAGTGTTTCTAGTTTCTATAGATTTGTATCAAGTCACGTGCGAAACTTCCTATCGAATTCATGCGTAGCGAACGGCGGAGGTCTGTAAAGTTCTGTTTGTCGGCTTTACAGAGCTTCCTCGTAAGTTGAATGATTTCAGAAGCCGATCCCTTCGAACCCGCGGGCACCGAGCCTACCCCAACGAGCCGATTTTGGATATTCTCAAGCGGTGGCAATTCCTACCGGAAAAGCCTATACGTTGTACTACACCAGCGAAGTCTCCAACAAGCTTGACTGGAAATTGTGGCCAATCAATACTATTTGAGTTGAGCAAATAACGGCAACTAACGTTGGAGAACGTTGAGTTGAATAGAGAGAGCAAAAAAAGGGCTCTTTTCCTGATTGGGCGATTACCTGCTCAAACGCGCTCACAGTCGATTGTTTTGCACGACGCCACATCTATCGCAGTGAGCAGAATAAAAAAATTATAGGAGAGATAGATATATGAATGAGGCGTTTTTCCCCAGACTTTTGTTGGGCGGGTGTTTGTGAAGAAGAGCAGTATTTCTGCAATGATCGTCGCGCGTGTGCAGAAAACGTGAATTGACATGGAATCATCAAACATGCGAGGCAGGGCACAGAGCAGCTGCAGCGGTTCAAGCCGCTCGAGCGCGTCGACGGGTTCAGCGTCGTCGGGGACGCAGGAAGCGTGAGCAAAGACGCACTCCCCCGATTTTCTCTCGTCCGAGGCTTGGACTTGCGAGAAAAAAGAGAACAGCTGCAGGAAGCATATGCTAACGGCTTTGGCAGGAGACATTTCATCTTTGACCGAGGTTCGTCGATACATGCAAGCCGGGCCGGCCGAGACAGAAGCACGCGGGCGAAGTCGCTCGGCAAAGTGGTCCAATTCTCTACCCAAATTGGGCAACGATTTCGCTGACGATTGAGGAAACCCCTCGGGGTTTCTGGGACAGATTGGTATCCCGACGTGCCGCTGGTTATCCAAGCGAATCAACTGATTATCGGGCGTCTTGGGCTGGGGCACACGCTGCCGGAACTCGTGGCCGAGTCCGCGAGGAACGAGGCGGGCTGTCACCCGGGCACGATGGCGGCGTACTTTCACCATGCCATTACGCTGGAGCTGGCGTGTTTGATGAGCAATGATACGGTTCAGATGGCGATCGTAAAGGGTGTTAGGGTATGAGCGGGCTCCGACAGCAGTTTGTAAATCTTTCTGGGCACGAACGGCGTTTGATCATTGGTATTGCTTCGCGATTGTTGAACTATGATATCATGAAGGAAGGGCTGTGTTTGCTTACTTGCTAAGGTTGAGCGAAAACGAATGGTGCGGTGGTCATCACTGCGCACGAAATAGACCTCGGCAGCAATGAGCAATCGGAGTTGCGATTTCGGGACAGGCTGGGATTGTAGGTACTACTTAGGCTGAAATGACCTAGACGGCCATGCTGTTATCTTTAACTTGGCCCAACGTAGACTTCATCGCTTTGATTCACGATGCAGACTGACCATGGCAGACCTTAGCCCGGCCGTTGCAATGTCTTCATGCTGCCATCAGAGCTAATACGAAACGAGGCCGTCAATGCGAGAGAGATAGAGCGCGCTCTAGTTGACCAAGGGTGGAGGGCCATATTATTTAGCGACATTCGCTAGAAAGCTTCAACGGAGACCACAAGATGGTGCAAAGTAGTGTGTTTTCAGTGCTACTTCTCTTCGCGCAATTATTACCCAAGACATATCAGCAGTGACTCGCTATTCAAGCTAGCCTAGCTTGCATGTGAATTTGAATCGGGCTCTGATTACCAATGTGGTGAAGACTCTGTGTGATGGACAACGGACCCCAAGAATGCCGATGACGATAGCGCCGCCAGGACAACGCACTAGATAAGAGCGCCTAGCAGGCGCACCAGCATGCGATTGACACGATTTTTTTTTGGGTTTCAGTAGACTAAACGACTCGAAAACGGTCTTTTAGAGCATATGGACTGGGCAATTCGGGGCTCGAGCTGACAGACTAGCTGCTGAAGACATCAGAACATGGCATTTCTTTGTTTTCCCCTTAGCCAAAATTTGCATCGGACTGCTCCGAAATCGGTTACTGCGAGGAGACGGAGTCTTCCAGAGGCCGTGGACCAAAAGCATTTCTTGGGATAAAGGCGCGACGACGAATGCCAGGCAACACATGGATAGATTTGAGCAAACAAGCAGCATTCGTACAAGTCAAAGCCAGCAAGAAAGAGGCAAAGAGTAAGCGTAGATGGCAAAAGTCGACTGCCATTTCTCTTACGACAGAACAAACGACCAGTCGCTGAGAATGGCATGGCGGCAGCTTCGAACTGATGGTGTCGCACGAGATCAGCCACACAAAGTCAGTCCAATCGAGCCTACGTTGTCAACCCAAAATCGGACGAAAGACTATGACTGATAGATGGCATGGAGACCTCGCGATCTTATGTTCGTTTGCGTACAGTATTGAGTGTTTTGGTGTCACGATCATCAGTTCCCAATTCCTAGAAGGGATCGTTTGTGTCGCCAGCAAATACGCTTCTAGAAAGTCACACAAACGCCATGCAGTAGTGGCCAAAGTCTAATGGAGGCCTATTGAAGGAAACAGCCATGACTGATGGTTTCCAGAAAGCGAGATGCAAACTCCGGGTCGGACGAAAGGTTATAGCGATCTGGGTGGCCCAATTGCACACGAAATCGCGCAAGCATTAGACATTCGATAACAAAGCGACTGTTCTAGGGTGCCGCAAAATGCTAGCAGTAGGTTATGGATTAATGGACACACATTCGAGGGAATTTGTATGCGGATTGTAGAGTTCTGGGGTGTATTGGTAAGAGTTGGTGATTGCTTCGAAATCGAGCGACGTAGGTATCGGGAAGGTCGTCACGCAAGACCATGAGAGACCTGCGCTTATGTCGGCATCGGGACGTTTCGTGTAATCTGGCTGGGAAGCTTCGGGGTAAGGTTTGGATTCGTCAGGCGATGGCGTCGAGTAGGCGGCGTGGGAGCGGTGCGAGGAGAGAATGGGAAGTGCTCACGAAGCCTAGCTAATCGCATATGTTAGTAGTTCCAGGTGCAGACTTACGAGGAAGAATCATGACTGATTCCTAGCGCTCACAGTGGTGCTAATGCCCTCCGTAACAAGATGGAAAAAAGACTGCATAGGTCAGAACAGCAGAAGGTGTAAGCGGAAGGTCAGTCCACAGGTCTAGCACAAAGAAGAAGGCTAGCCTAGATATTTGACTACTGACTAAAGATGCAAGTAGAGCATGAACTCCGGGTATTGCTAGCCCGGAGCAAGCTATCAGCACCTCCAAGATGTCAACGTCTAATCATATCCGACTATGGGACCAAAGTCACAAATCGTCTCTTGCTATCCACACTTGCCATATCCGTGATATCTCTGAATCCGGGGACGGCTGGATGAATCGCCGGGGGTCAGCCACGGCAGATTCTCCCGGTTCTTGGGCGCCGATCCGGGGCCCGGGCCGACCTGAAACCCGTGCGAGAAGTCCCGAAGAGCTTCGTTTTGGAAGATGGAGCACAAACGCACACAGGGGTTTGTTGGGTCACATTGAAATTGGGAACAGGTGGCCGTCGGTGGAGAGCAGGGGGGATGAGTGGGGAGTCTCGTCATCAGAAAGGAGGCAGCAGGGATATCCTCCTCACTCGAGACTTGCAAGGGGAGAAGGGAAGAAGAGAGAGACGAGGAGGGGAGGGGTGGGAGTTGTAATCGAGAGACGGAGTCGGAATCAAAGATGCAGTGCAATCTGCAGAAAAGTGACAGCCAAGGGGGGCCAAGAGTGGCTGTGCAGATGACATAATCGGGTCTATAGAGGTCCCGCTTATGTAAACGGATCCTCCGTTATCCGGCTATCTTACCTCCCCGGGTCCCTCGTATCGTGATATCCGTATGGGCATCCCGCGGTTTCCATTTTTTGGCGAATCCGCGTAAGCTGCCTTAGGTAAGCAGGAGGGACCTACGTGCACGTAAGCAGGAATTCACTGCCCAGAAAGACACTCGTCAATCTTGATTGGACAGCCTTGGCAGAGTAGGGGACTCTGCAGTGGACAGGCTCACTAAATTGCGGCTGCACTCACTGGGACTGGAACTGCCTGGGGACCGGCTCACTGCCGCACGGAAGCCGGGACTGTAGCACCTCCATGTTCATCCATGCCAAATCACGAACCTTCATGTTTCGACATCGCCAGCCGCAGAGTCAATTCAACCTCCATCGAGCTTTGTTGTTGCCAGCCGAATCGACATCGCGACTAGCCTCACCATCCAGCTTCTCTTAGTCCTGTCGATCCGGTCAATGTCTGTTTGCTCCCGAGCAGCATCCATGGGACCCCTTTCTCTTCCGTCATAGTATTTCGATAGCGTCGTGTGTTGCTGCGCCTTTCCAACACTCCTTTTCCCTTCATCTCCGCCCTCACCCGACCGACTCGATACCGCTCGTTTTCCCTTCGCTGCTATATGGATGCCGATAGACGCCTTTGATCGACGTCCCTTTGACACATCGCCCCCCTGATTCTCGTTCCTGACCGGCGACTACCGCAACGATGCCGTCGGATCGCGATCACCGGTACGAATCTGTACCCCCCATCCCAAGTTACGATGAAGCTCTCGCCACAAGCGGCCCGGCCGACCCCTCAGAATGGCAGCAACCCCCGCGCTCTCCGCTAGACGATCGCTCCCAGGCCGAGACTGAGTCGCAGTCGCTGCTGAATAGAAATGGCCTCGCAACTTCATCACGTCGCCCAAACGGGTATAGGCCGCCAACAGTCGAAACAGATGACGAAGATAGCTCATGGGGCAGCGACGATGATGGAGACGAAACGGCATATGTGCGCCGGGAGATGCAAGAGCTCGAAATAGGGGATGCAGAGGACAGATCGCGCCCGTCAATATGGGGGAAACGGATACCATTCGCCCTCTCCTTATCACGCTGGAAGTGGTCTTGGCGATGGCGGATGCCAAATTTGCGTCCAACAATTCGACTGCCCTCGGGCTCGGCCGACAACCCCAACAACCCGAACGAGGCGAATGCGACGACGACGAGACCGCGATTTGCTTTCCCGCAATGGGACAAGGACAAGGCGCGGACGGCCATTATCATTTTTGCTCGGGTGTTTGCTGTTGTGTTCGTCATGGGCATTCTTTACGCACTTTTCATGAGCGATCTTTTCACGAGCATGGCTAGGCGCATGAACGGCGGACTGCGCTTCAACCCCGAGGATGTACGCTTGTACGTGCAGCAAAATGTCGAGGGCCGCCGGCTGAAGGCGTCGGTAGCTCATTACACAAAATACGCCCACATGGCAGGAACTGAGGGCGACTACGCTCTGGCTATGGACGTCGAGTCCATGTTCACCAGAGCCGGGCTGGATTACGTCAACGTTGACGAATACTACGTGTACATGAACTATCCGAAGGCCGGAGGACGCGCTGTGGAGATTATTGGCGACGATGGGAAGCCGAAGTGGTCAGCGAAGCTGGAAGAAGAGGAAATCGGAGGAGAAGCAGCTGGACACCAGACGTTTGTGTTCCACGGACTATCCAAGTCAGGAGATGTTAAAGGACCTTTGATCTATGCCAACTATGGCGCGAGGTCGGATTACAAGAAGCTTGCGGATCATGGGATCGACACCAAGGGCGCGATTGCTCTTGTTCGTTATTATGGCACCCAGGCGAATTTGGCCCTCAAAGTCAAGGCAGCAGAGGATGCCGGCTTTGCAGGCTGCATCGTGTACAGCGATCCAGCTGATGACGGGTTTAGATTGGGCGATGTAGCACCCAATGGCCGCTTCATGCCCGCCGATGGTGTTCAGAGAGGCTCCGTTGCGCTGTCGAACTGGGTCCTTGGTGACCCCCTGACTCCTGGCTGGGAGAGCAAGAAGAACCTGCCGCGTATGAAGCCCGATGAGAGCAAGGGTCTGACCAAGATCCCCAGTCTGCCCCTCGCGTGGCGTGACGCACAGATTCTACTACAGCATCTCAAGGGCCATGGTGAGCAAGTGCCGAAGGAATGGGCGGGAGGTGTTCCTGATATCGCGGAGTGGTGGACTGGCAACCTTTCTTCGCCCATTGTACGACTCAAGAACGACAACGACGTTGTTGAGCAGAAGGGCATCTGGAATGTTTACGGCAAAATCGAAGGCATTGAGCAGGATCAGAA